CAAGAATGAAGAAGGCGGCGAAGGCACCTATTTCTGGCTGGGACCGCCCCTTACTAGCCTTCATCTACCCGGGTTTCGATTGTGGCTCAGCTGGGGAACGAGGGAATGAAGCGCAAGGGAAGTTCCTGTAAAGGAAGCCATGGATGGTTTTTCTCGGGGTCATTCCAGTTATTTTTCCCTGCAGAGTACCAGCAACTTTTGGGAAAAGAAAAACCATTTACCTGGCTGTACCATCTGGACTCTCCCAAAACAAAAAACCAGGCCACCAGTGAAACAATGCTTGGGTTCAATATTCACCACCACTATTCACGGGGTTTCAGCATGCAAATTGGCTTCGCATTCTTTTAAGGAGGCACAGAACCCTGACAAAACCATTTTTAGGGCCAAAAAATGGCAGTTGTCCTTTTGTTTCCCTATAAAACCACGAACAAAAAGGGGTACCCTCCAAAGAAGACACCCCCATTCAGGCAAATCATCACATTTCACCATCAGGAACCTCTATGAACGGAACCATAGGGACAGCCTTTCAGACCCCCGTCAACCTTCGAGGCAGAATGGGCAGTTGTGGCAACCGATAGCCAGATGGGGCTGGGAAAACATGCGATGCCGGCAGCGCCGGTGTTTGATGGCCAGGTCTTCTAGAAGAGAGGTTAGAATAAGGGTGCCAACTTTTTTCTGTAGTCTATTTTAGTAGGGGAACCCTCCCAACCAAAAAGGGTAAAAGGGCACTACTCGGGTCCTCGTTTTGGAGTCCATTCCCGAAATCTCTCGAGCCCCATGGCCGTGCCGGTGGCTGAATGGGCCAACGGAAGCTCAACAAGACGCAGGGGAGGGCTTTGGCACATGATGCCAGGCCCTGTGGGAAAGAAAGTGGTAAAATACCACGCTCAACGTAACGGACAAGATGACGTGTTTGGGCGTCGTTTCTCGAGGCTACACGTTTTTGGTTTTCAGTGGCAGGATGGGCTCGAAAAAAACTCTGTGGGTTGCTTTGGGTGGCCAACAGGTGAGGGCACCTCAAATTTGCGGGAAGAATACTGGTTTCAAGTGGCAAGAAGAAAACATATGGGGACCTACCCATATGTTTGCCTCTTGCCACTTGAAAAGCCGGGTCTTCTTTGCCAAACATCTGGGGACCGAGAGGCGAACCCTCCACCCCAACGCTCCCACGACCCTGACTCTCAGCTGCTCACAGCATGAGTGACACCGTAGATGTACCTGAGCCGGTCGGATGTGGATTGATTGGCTTTTTGGCAGAGTGATTGGACCCTGCAATTTCCTAGCTGTTTGCCCCCCTCCAATCCTCATGTCAGGAAACGCCCAATGGATGCTTCCCACGAAACTACGTAGGCCGTCCTGAAATTATGTGGACCATTTTGGATGGTGTAAATGAACACCAAAAAGATACCAACCTTTGAATCAGGCGGGTAGGTGCACTTCTGGTTGAACACATCCCCCTTCCACTCATTGATCGATCTTCCTAGTTTAGTTTTAGCAACGCCCACATCTTGGCCAAAGAGGCGGCACAAAAGGCCAAACACATCCGGCTCGCAAGTGGAGAGCATCACCCGCTCCGAAACCTGTGGTTCCCACGGCGGTTCGGCTCAAAAATATGTTTTTTGCCGGCAAAGCTATCCAATTGGCAGTCAGAAACAAATTCAAAACCGCATCCAAATGGTAGTCAGCATCAAAACCCTACAAGACGTCTGCCCCCAACACCCATAAGAATCAAAGTTCATGTCCCGTAGGATTGGGTTGTGGCTCCAGGCTCCTTCGAAAACCAGAACAAGGTGGGCAAAGTAGCAGTGGGTCAAAATTGAGCCCCCAGGATCGCAGGTTCTTCATGTTTCCTGATTTTTTTTCCCCCAACAGCCGAAAGCTTTGGGGTCTCAGCCCAGATAGGCTCTGGGGTGGTCCGGGGCTGCCCTGAGATAAGGTTCCAGGAGGGTTCCACTAGGGTTCCACAGGGTTCCACAGGGTTCCACGAGGGTTCCACGAGGTTCTGCGAGGGCTGCGGGGTGGTGCGAGCACTAAGAAGAGCACCGCATGCTGTTGGGGATATCACCTGCGCTTATTTTGTGTGTGTCCTTTCCTTTGTACCAGGGCAAACCATTTTGGGGTTACCCTAATTTTCACCCACAGCCACGTAGCTGGTGACCTATGACTCGCCAAACCGAAATGCACCACCGAAGGATCCTTCATGGGCGAGGTTGCACACCCCATGAGCCACGATTCAACGACTCTTCATGAAACCTGCGCGTTTGTCGTGGCTGGTTTGGACGCTTGGACCTGTTCCAAACTCGGGGGGAAGCCTATAAATGGGGGGGGGGGGTCCTTTTAGTTTTCCTTTGTGGGTTTCCAAAAGAGCCGGGTACACGGAAGGGGCAAGTTTTTCCAGCTGCACTCAACCCCTGAAGCCTGATTCACTGATGACCACGTGCCCAATGTTTTGGTGAACCTCCTTTGCCAATTTTCATGGCTGGACCGAGTCATGGTGAACCCCTGGTATTGAACGAATCTACCCCAAACCAGTAGTAACCAATGAACAGCGCGGCAAGCTTTCCGCGCATCTTTCATGGTTGCAACTGCTCCTGGCTCCTACTTGCCTTCTACCCCAAAAAATGACCGGCTGAAACAAAGGGACTCCCATCACTCAAAGCAAAGAAACCACATCTTTGAAACAACATGAAACTTCGACTTCATTCAGCCCAAACCCTAAATCTACAACTTCAAAGCCGCGAAAGGCCCCAGAGGGAGCTCCTTAAAAAACAAAAAACAAAAAGCAATTCGAGTAACCTGTGTTGGTTGGATTGGTTTGGATTTGGATTCGAACCAGTGGATCTTGTGGACACATGCGAAATCCATCACCTCCAAACCGCCTCACTCCGAGCCTCCAATTCGAGGGTGCCTGGACCCTCAAACTACCCATTACAAAAGAAAAAACTACCCCATTTTGTTTGAGCAATCACCCATTTTCACGGGTAGCTTAGGGAGTCCCAGGTAAGTTGAATTCTTGAAGGACACGGGGCAAACCAACAAAAACACTCAGTTGTTCAGTGACCCTGGAAAAAAAGGGGCACCCTTTTTTGGGGCTTGGACCATTTTAGTGGGGCAGCCACCCAAAAAGAAGGGGGAAAAAGAATTGGAGCCACCGAACAACTGAGAACAGCGCACACCTGGCGCAGCTCTGCTTTCGCCCAGCTGCACGCGCCCGGCAAAGCCGGGGTTGGTGCGGGTCTCAGTGCCGAAGGAGTACAAGAACCTCGCGCCACGAAGCCCCTGGTCAGTCTTGCCACGCCTTTGGTCTGTTTTTTTTTTTTTTTTTTTTTTTTTTTTTTTTTTTTTTTTTTTTTTTGTTGTAGTTGTTTTTGTTATTTCATGTTTTTTAGGGGTTGTGAGTGTGGTGGCAAAATTGCTGTTCGACAAACTGTGCGTACAATATATATACTCTCTCTCTCTCTCTGTCTATATAAAAATATACAAACGTATATTATATGTGTATGTACATATTCTATTCACAGACACCCCAAACACCCATTGTGTCAAGAACAACAGCGTATGTGTCCATACAGAAGACGGACTACGTGCGGGATGTTCAATTTCTGATCGCATTCTTGCAACATATCAACACATGCCCTTCCAGAAACACGTACGCATTATCCTTTTGGATCGGGCCGAACATGCAAACCGCATGCCTTGCGCCCAGAGCTCATCGTGAAGACAGGGCTCAGCAAACGTTTGTGCCTGTGTTCTGGAGCTAGGCACGGATCGCTTGTTGTTTTTCCACGTTCCAGTAGAGCTACGCAACCTGCGGCCTGCCACTAAGCGACTAGACTCAACGGAAGAGTCTCACGCGGAAACAAAAAGGAAACCGCTTACCTTCCTTTCTGGCTTTGGTTGCGCATGTGGTCGGTAGTCCAAACTTTGCCTCCTGTGTCTATTACCTGAATCACTTTTCGCGCCTTTGCAGCTTTTGTAATATGGGCACGGCAGTTTTCCGGCTTTACTGTTACCCGCATGGCAACCTGATGATTTCAGAACCCCCTTTGGAAACCCGAAATGCGAAGCGTCCCTGTTCCAACTTATTTGCGGAAGCCCCGTTGAAATGGACATTGGGGTCTCTGGATTTCAGTTGCAACTTGGTGAGTTCCATTGAGACTAGGTGCTCCAGTAGAGAGGTTAGAATAAGGGTACCCTTTTTTTTCTGCAGTCTATTTAGTAAGGGAACCCTCCCCCAAAACAGAAACGGTGAGAAAGGGCACTACTGGAACACCTAAAAGACGAGACTGCTGGGACTCGGCCGAGCTGCTCGCTGCGCGCGGAGCTGTCTTGCAGGTTGAAGAGGACCTGCACAGCAAGATGGGCAAACGGGCGAGGGCTTCCTTTGTGTAAGCTCACCAACCAGCCGGAGAAAAATTGTGCCGCCCAGCTATGGCAAGGAATTCAGTGGTGAAATGGCGTCCTTTGTGGAAGCGACAAAATAGCAAAGTAGATGGCCCTGGCTTAAATTGAATCAACCAAATGCCGGAGTACATTTTGCCGCGCTCTATGGCGAGGAATTAACTCCAAACATCTGAAATGTTGGGCGGTGGCACCCCGCGATCCTACAAATCACCGCTGCTAGCCACTCGGGATTTGTTTCAGATCCATCAACAATCGTGGCACCTATACTTGGTTGCGTTGCTGCAACAACCTTTCCGGGGTCCAATGCTAAAAGTCCACCGTTGTTTTCCACCAAAGAGTTGTCCAGTCCAAAGATCAGCTACCAAATAGCCATAAAGGGCTGCAGGCAAGGATCTGCAAAACCGACTCGCTGCACAAGAGAACCCTCGCAGCCAATGGTTTGGAATTCTTGCATGGGTATGGGTCAAAATAGCCCTGGGAGTTGAATCGCAACAAGTAGCAAAAAAATGCGGTCCCGATCAATTTGACCCAAAAATCTGAAAACTGCAAACCCCTTCCGACTGAACTCTCGCAATTTGGGATCCTCGACAGTCACACTGAATACGTCTGCGTCAAGGCGGGGAGATGAACGAAGCCGAACTGAAACCACCACGCCCACCAAGTTGGAGGATGTGGATGCCATGTCGGCTAAAGCCGCCCAACTTGAGGTGGCGCCGAAAGCAGTAGCTTCTCCTGCAAACGCTTACGCAGAACAAAAAGCTCCCGCGCCTACACCCCACATGAACCCCACACAAACATGCAACCCAAAGAAGTGTTTGCCCCAAACAGATTCTGAACATGATATCCTCACTTCCTGGATGGGCCAAAGAAAGTCCAAGCGCAAAAAGCTTAAAGTGCAGGAACGCGCGAAGTCTTCGAGTACCTGGCCCCTCAAACTACTCATCAAAAATGGTGTCTGGTTTTCGGCCTCCCATTTTTCCCAGTCGAGCTCCTCAGCTTTTGAATCCTCAGTTGTTCAGTGACCCTGGAAAAAAAAGGGAACCCTTTTTTGGGGCTTGGACAATTTTAGTGGGGCAGCCACCAAAGAAAAGAGTTGGACAAATAATTGGAGCCACTGAACACCTGAGAATCGATCGATCCGGGGCCCCGGGGGCCCCGGGCCCAGCTTTGAGGCCCCGTGTGGCTCCCCGCGAAGCCTGGCGCTCGGGGGAGAATTTTCTTCGAGAGCGGTGGCGCAACCCTGCCCTGAAAATCGTCCCACTTGTTGAAATGATGTTTTTTGTCACTCTCCCCACCTGTATCTTCATTTGAGCAAAACAAAGTGCGCACTTTTCCATTAAAAACGCGCAAAGTTCCAAGAACTGCGCGAGGCGTTTTTCGCTGGTTTTGGTAAAGGTTCTGGGCATATATAGCCTTGACATCAACCTGTCAAGCTGTTCGAACAGAACTAGGACAAGGATAAATGCGCGCCTTGTCGACCAGAACTCGCCTGAATGATCCAAGGAACCTGCGTGCGTTTTGGCTGCCTGTTGGGCGTTGTCTGGCTTAGCCTTGCATCGTGACAAGCCAGCTAGATGGACAAGAGACACATGCTGAACTTTGAGATTGCAAGAAATCCGAACACCGCTTCCAGGTTGAAAGGGATGGGCGCAGCTTCGACTGACCACACCTGGCTCAATATAGAGCTTTTGGTTGGCAATTCGGACATCTTCTGCCTGAAAAGGCTGAACCGCGCACATGCATGTGCACACTTTTCGTATTTGCGCTTCCTGGGGCTTGCCCGAACCTTTGAACTTCTGATCAACACCTTCCTTTCTCGTGGCTTCCTTCCGGGTGCTTCTTAAAATCGGCTGCTCCAAGACATGTGCTTTTTGCCGCTGGTTCAACTGGGTTCAACTGTGAGACAAACACGTTTGCAAGAATGAAGCCCCCCAACTCCCCACCCCAAAAAACGAAATCCTCTTCTTTAGTCCAAACCTTTCGCCTACAATCGAAACCTCTTGGAGTCTAAGCCATGAAATTATCGCGAACTCTTTCATCAATCCACACAAAACCGCAGACCATCTTTTGAGTCGAATCCAAAGCTCTCGGTTAGTCACCGCTGCATCAATTGCTTGGTTGCTTTGGTTCGACTCAAAGTTTTGGAGGGATGGAGGCTATGTACCCCTTGCACAAGTGGTACACACTGCCTGACAAGCTTGTATTGGTGGTTTGGACCGTGTTGCTTGAAAAGGGGGCATTTGTGTGGCGGGGTCCATGGCAACGACAGAAGTCAGGAGCCGCTAATTGGTGGTTTGGATTTGGATTTGAACTCCTGGTCTCTTGTAGAGGGTAAATGGGTTTACCACCCCTTAACCACCACCAAGCCACCGGGCTCCAAATTGCCAAGTAAAGGGAAGCTGATTGAACTAATTGGACACACCCAAACCCCTTATCTGCACACCAGCATTAAAACAACGTTACCATTCGTTCAATGGGGGTTGAACGGTCAAACCCTGGGTACCTAATCTCGACCTTTCCCCCGCCCCCCGAAGGAAAAAAAAAGGTCGAAATTCGCCCCCGGCCTATCAGCAGGTCCTGTGCCACACGTGGCACGCCGAAAGAGCTGGCGAGAGTGCCCACGCGGCAGTGGCCCTTTTGCCAAGCGGCGGAACCTCCGGTCAGCTTCTATTTGCTTTTTCGCCCCCTGGAACAGATACCCTCCCTCCAACAAACATAGCACTTGTGGGAGGGTACCCGGAAAATGACATTCCTCTTGGGGGTACCCTGTGTCAGCTGCCCTGTTAGTGGGAGGCAGGGTATGTCCAGTAGTGATTAATCCCGCCCCTTTAAAGTGAAGGGTAAATAACATTCTCAAGCACATGGAAGTCAGGTGAATCAAGGCACGCGGTTCACGTGTTGAGTGTTTAGTTCGATGGAAGGGCCACCAAAAGCACATGGCTCTGAGGATAGCTCTTTGGACATCAGGCCGTGTCCTTTTGTTGGATTCGGACCCCCCAAGCAAAAAAAAACACATAGCGCAACGGTTTTCCTACTGGTTTCCTTTACAAAGAAGAACACGGGTATCCTCAAAAAGACAGACCCAATGGTAAACCCTGAAAATGGACGTGTTGCTTTGAAAAGAAGTGTGTTTTGCCGTGCGGTTTTTGACGATCCGACCCAACAGTAGTTAGCCCCGACCCTCCAAGAAAGAGACACACCAATGTGGGGTAATCTTCGCGAGCCCCTCCTTTCAATGTTTACCAAGGGCGGGGAAACTCGCAGCGAACTGCGGTCTGGCGCGTGGGGACCGAAAGCCGCGAGGCCGTCCTTTTGCCATGTCAGAAGAATGGCTTTTCTTCGGAAGGAAACTAGCTACACGTTCTCACAGGCCATCCATGATTCCAAGAAAGTGGTTCGAACAACTGCCTTCAAGAAGGTTAGGGCCAAGGAAGAACCTTCGCATCTTTGCCCTTTTGGGGGGAAATAGGCGGCCATGGTAAGTGAGTAACCCGCCTGGCAGACCAGGTATATTCCTTTGCCAAAACGACCAAAAAAACGGCCAACCTCGGAGTTATGAGCCTGCCGGAAAAGAACAGGGCGATCCCGGATGGTCAATGACTCCCGTCCCATGGCAGCTCATGGCCTACTTCGGGCCTTGATGACCCGCAAACTCGCCTTTAATATTCCCAGACAGAGACCTGAAAAGGAGAATTGGAAAAATGAGGCCCCTTCAGAAATCATGTTGTTTGCTTGTTTGTTTTCTTTCTTTGATGCACAGCCAAGGTGCCGTCATTCTTGCGGTCCGCACCCATGCATCCTCTCACGATGCTCAGCAAACTCCTGGTGGCCAAATCTGCGGGGAGATCGAATACCAGTCACACGCGGCACCAAACATAAGGAGAACCGACAGACCTCGCTCGGTGCACCTGGCATCTCTCAGGAACATGTCGTAGTTAATACATATTTGTGGTTGCCAGTCACATGGAATACCAAGATTCTTAGGATACCTCTCGGGCAAATATTGCCGTGGTACCAAGATTCTTAGGCATATCGCAGGAAAGTAATGTTGTGTCAAAGGATGTGTCCATCAGACTTCCTGCACCATCACAGACCCAAAAGGAGAGTTTCCTGCTCAACATAACAAACATGGCCAAAAGGAATTTACCAATACCAAACAATTTCCCCGAACACACCTACCTATTCCACCCATCTCTGTTGTGCATTTTCCGCTTCGGTGAATGGCTTGGGCAGAGTGGCCCAAAGCACCTGGGACAAAAGGCCTGTGTATTTCCGATTGGGGGGGGTCGCCGCCTACTGCATTTTGTTCTGAGTTAGATCTCGTTCGTCCACATTACGGATTTTGACAAAGCTACATTGCAACATATGTGAACTAGCCCGCGCGATGAGAGATACTCTTAAATGGAAGTAGGTCCGCAGATTTACAGATTCACATAAGGTTTTGCCACAAAGCCACCAAGCCCTGCCAACATCCTCAGCTGTGTTGGCAAGTCTGCAGAATTGCGGGGAGCTGCTGCAAGACTATGGCGAGACTAGGAGAAGACTTGCCGGGAACTATCGCTACTGCCAGGACTTTGCCAGGAGTTGGCAGGAAATGCAAGGAAGCTGCGCAAGCGAAGCAAGAGTGCTTACAGAGGATTGCCGGGATTTGTTGACAACTGCGCTGAGACTACACTGCAAGTGTGCAAAAAGAACTGCCGGAGCTGGCAAGACCATGGCGCCGGGAAAGAACTGCCGGGAACTGGGGCCAACACAGCACGGATTGCGGAGAATTGTCGGACATGACACGAGCTGAGCTGCGGCAAGAGCGCGGCAAGTTTAACTGCAGAAAGGATTGCCGGGATTTGCCGGGAAGTGCTGGGGCGAGACTTGCCGGGAACCTGCGAACCTCACAAACGCCTCCATCTCGTACATTCAGGCCTCCCGCACTCGTACGTTTGGTTTGCTAAAGGGGTGGGCCTCCCTAACATCAGGGCTATAAAAGCCGTCCAGGTGAATGAAACAACTTTTGGCCTCCGTCAGCTCCCCAAAGTCCCCAAATACCACAGCGAAAACCAAGCGGAGAGATACAAGATGCCAACTATAAACATATCACCAGCTTTTTGAAGGGCCATTTCAAAAAAAAAGCTGGCTTGTCGAGCCAGATAGCTGAAAGCTACAAGGGATTCTTGCCTACCCGCTTCAGCGAAATCGGGCCAGGCTGCGGAAGCTGATCAAGGGGCTGGTCAGGGATGGTCTCTGATGGCTGCCCCATGGCTTTCCCAAGGTTTTCGCACGGTTGTCTTGTTTGTTGCATGGGCTTTCCCATGGCGCCATGGTTTTCCCCTGTTCTTCGTATGGTTTTGCCATGGGTTTACAAGGTTTGGCCCTGTCCACTCCAATGCTATTCCTACACTTGTCCAATGCTGTTCCTTCGCATTGCCGCTCCATCGAATCGGTCCTGCTGCGGAAATGGTCCAAGAGCTCGAATTCCAGGAAGCCGCCGGCAGTGTCCTAGTCCGACCCCTCGCAGCCAGGCTTGAATGGGCGTCGTTGTTTGCGCAGCCTCTTGTTGGGAAAGAGAAACCAAAAGGTAAAGACAAACCCATTTCGCCAGCAAAAATGCGAGTCATCGGCGCAATCTAGGAAATCCACGCGACGTTATTTATATCTGCGGACAACCATGCACCAATCAAATGTTGCGGGTATATAGTATCTGCTCTCTGAAATGACAGTTTGTGCGTTTTGTTTCAAATTTCCATGTCATCAAGCTCAAAGGTACCCTCACAAAATGATATGGGTATGAAGTTTAATTAGGGGCCCGTTGATGGACAGCATTTAGGTGGGGATTTATGTCCTCCAACCACTTTTCAAAAAATCCTCATTAAAATTCATAGCCAGGAAAAAACCCAGCTAAGGTTTCCTCATGAAGGGAACGCACCTTTCTCATGAGTGAGGTCACAGCCCCTGAGGTCAGCCCTCAGCCCACAGCCGTAGACGCTGTCCTCGAAGCGAAGGCCCACCAAACCTGGAAGGGCGCGACAACTTCTATTGCCCTTCTTTGGTGTTGGTGTCTGGTTCAAACAAGGATATTAATAAAATCGTAATAATAATCATCATGGGTCTCAAAATGAGGGCAGCTCCACGAACCCGCATCATGATTTCCGCTCTAGCAGTCATGGACGTTCTTGCTTGTTTGTAAACCCAACACAAGGCCATCATCGTCATTATGAAGGACTCTCACTGGGCTTTGTCTGGAAGGAACCGCAGGAGGTCGCCTGCACACCACGACGACTCTTCTGTTCGGGGCGGGAATTGGTGATAAGTCCACGAGCTACATAGGTGTGTCTGTTGATGTTTCAAGGGAAACCGAAGGGAAACCAACCATTTCTTGGGGGGCCCCCACAAAAGAAAAACACAACCTCCGAGCCATTCATGGAAGATCCCTCTGTTGGGTTTCTGGGTAACTTTCTGGCATGCCCCAACAAGACCCGAGGCCCGATTCAAGGTCCTGTGGTAACTAGGCGAGAGGGGGTGGGGTTACGGATCCTGTGGCCGATGAGGGTCAATGTTTGTTCATTGCGCAAGAAAACCAAATCTCAGAGTCTCGTAAAACCAGCTGGCAGAAGACCTGAACCAAGTCCAAAGTCGGCATTGTGGGGGGGGGGGGGGGTTGGGGGTTTGGGGATGGGGGTAGGTCACAGGGATTGAAACTCGGGGTTCAAGGGCTTCGGGGGTTTGGGTCTGGCGCCCTGTTGGCCCGACACTCTGGTCCAGATCATGCTTTGAATGCAGGTGACGGTTCCTACCTGGTAAAGAGAAGAAGAGGAGAAGAGGACAAGAGGAAAAAAGGAGAAGAGGAAAAGGGGAAAAGAGAAAAAGAGGTGAAGAGGAGAAGAGGAGACGGGAAGAAGAGGAGAGGAGAGGGGAAGAGAAGAAGAGGAGAAGAGACGAAGAGGGGAAGAGGGGAGGAGGAGAAGAGGAGAAGGGGGGAAGCGGAGAAGCGGAGAAGAGGAGAAGAGGAGAAGAGGGGAAGAAGAGGAGAAGAGGAGAAGAGGAGAAGGAGAAGAGGAGAAGAGGGCAAGAGGAAAAGGAGAAGAGGACAAGGGGAAAAGATAAGAAGAGGTGAAGAGGAGAAGAAGAGGAGAAGAAGAGAAGATGCTGTAGCATCTCTCTTGGGAGGACTTTTTTGTGAGTTTCATGTCAATCTTCCAAGAGTTTGGCAGCCGCCACACAGGCCCTTTGGGTGGGTTGTATCTGAGCCTGACTCTGGGTGGCTAGTCGTTTTTGGAGTTGGTACCCATTTGGCGCCATTTGGCGCCTGAAAACAAAGACACACTCTGCCACACAGGAAAGCAGAAATGCATGCCCGGCCTACTGTATCATAGGCCTCCCGCTTGCCATCGTTGCCGGAAAGCATCACCCCGGCCGCGTCAAGGACGTAGCCACCTGCCTCAAGTGGGCGTGGCTCAGAAATCGGGGCTCAACATGAAACCCCGGAAAATGGCAGGCTAAAACCTGCGGTCCATATCCTGGCTCGCAAAGATCGAGTCACACTCAAGTGGGATCCATGACAATGAAACAGCAAGTTCTTTGCGGAATTCGATTTCTTGGGGTTCAGCGAGCCCATACCAAGAAGCCGTCATCGCGGCTTCGCTTTGCTCTCTTGCCCAAAGGACCCAGAAATAACAGGTTAACCTTTTGGGGTCATGACTAAAACTAGACCAAAAAGGAGAAACCAAAAGGTCAAAAGGTCGGCTTTGGGCAACTGAGTTTGGGGAGTGTTTAATGTTGCGCTTCTCAAGCCAACATCCCAAGTCTGAGGGAGTCAGTGTGAGTCAAAACGAAACAAAGTTCTAGCCAAAAACTCGCCAACTATCCGAGGGAGGCGTGGAAACCTGTGACACGTGTTGTAAAAACGCAAACATGTGTTGGGCCTTTAGGGGCTCCTATGTCCTGGCGCATTCTGACCACTGCCGAGCACTGATGCGGCGGCCACTGAAGGAGCCATATGGCAGTCGTGTTGTCTTGCATAGGCTGTGGGTCAAAAATAGGTAAATGAACCCACAGCCTATTCAACCTGGTAAATGGTAAATGGAACCCTGGTAAATGAAATTGGAACCCTGGTAAATGGAAACTTGGACTACAACCTGCGGACCCCTGGTGCTTTAATTTACACCCAATACACGAAGTGCCCAAAAAGGGGCAGGTCTCCAAAGTTTGGAGAGCAACCTCCTCAAACTTCCGACTTGGAAATGGGGAGCGATCAAAACTCTGGCCCCGCTTTGGACCCTGGTGCTGCCTAAAGGGGATACCAAATTTCGACCACCACGGAGATCAGGGGCAAGCGGCCACGGGGCGTTGCGACACCAAGAAAGTGATCAGGGTTCAGCCGAAGGGGTTCCCAGGAAGTTGCTTGTGGATGTTTCTTAGCTTCTTGCAACGGGCAACCTCGCGCAAAGATCTGCGATGTTTTCCCAGCACCGTGAAGCTTAACCTCCCCGGCAAAAAAAGATCATGCGCAGAGATTTCCGAGCGCCTCCTTTTTCTTCTTCGGAATCCCTCGGCGCCTTGGAAAAGAGACCCTGGGTGCTTTTGCGGCGCTTCTCGCCGGGCCTTTCTCCCCTTTTCGCCGCTTTTCCGAGTGCAACTCCGAGCCGCATTGTACCAGCCAGGCCACGTGTTTCCTGGGCCGGACGAAACCCAGTGCCGGGCTCAAGTTGATGGCACCTGGGAATGCTGACAGGGGTGCCTCGATTTCCCTTTGGGACCCCGGTCAACGGCAACTTCGAAGGGGAAATCCGGTGATTCTGATCAATGCAAACCAGCTGAGAGATACGGATGACTTTTGGGGTGGATGAAACACATACTATTTTGAACCCGGGGTCAACATTACTAACAATGATGCTTCAAAAGGGGCCCCTTCCGAGTGGTTGCCATTTTCTGTTGAGTGCCAGATTCAAAACCGTACCCCTCGACACACCTTCACATGCGAAGTGACCTGCTGCTTCCACGCCACACTCTTGAAATGCAAAAAAGGCAGCGGCGCGCTGCCTTGCCTTGAGTGGCCAACAAAGATGAACTTCAAGGATCGGGGAGAGCACCAACGCCTGTTGCAAAGGGCCTATTGAAAAATGATTCTGGTAACTCTGGGTTTAGGATGTAGGGTTTAAGGGTTTCCTTCGAGGATCGGGATTAATAATGCCAAACATGAACTTCAATGCGTTGAGTGGCCAACTTCAAGGGGAGAGCACAAAACGCCTCTTGCAGGTCATCGCTCATCTTGCCAGAAGCGGCGGGCTGATTTACATAAAGCAAACATTCGCTTGGCAGGGCCAAGCAGTCAACCCGTGGATGGTCCTCAGCCTAAGTGGTTGTAGCCAAGCCTCCAAGGATCCACACCAAATAGACATAAATTCACTTCCTGAGTACATGGGCCAAAGCCCGTCCAAACTTCTCGGTGACCACTAAAACTTGGCCCAAGCCCAAAAGTTTACAGTCCAAAACGGAACACTCAAAAAAGTGAGTAAAGCCCCAAAAAAGGCACCCTCCAAAAAACACACACGCCCAAATCTAAGCTCGTTCCCACCCGTCCCCCCATTTTTCCTGTTTCCCGTTCGCGGAATCCGGGCCACGGTAGGTGGCCGAATACCCGGGCCCGGAGAACAGCAGATCCAGCGCGCCGCAGGGCACCTGAGTCAACCGCTCGGAAGTGGAGCGCTTGGTAGGAGCTTGGCTCGCTCCAAACGGTCCACAGAACTGGTCGAAACGGGAACCTTAGACGGTGCTGCCATTTGGCCACGGGTCAAACCCTCTGGCTCCATTTTGGGGCGGATGAACAGCCACGTGCCACCTATTTTGATGCTCACCGGGGGTTTCCCGGGATTTGACACCCACTGCCATGATTTATGTGCTGCCATTTTGGGGATTCCATTCGTGCCGCCATTTTATCGGCAAGGACTCCAAAGGAGCAGGGAGAAGTCCAAGTGGCCGGCCCAACAAATTGGACCTCCCTTCCCCGAATGCCGCTGACAGGGTCCGAAAACTTGTTGGTGAGCAGGGAATGAGACATGGAATGACCCTTAACCATCCAGCCGGTGGTTTCCTTTAAGGCAAGGGACTTCCAGTGCCTAAAGAAAAACTCTGCGAATGCCAAGTTGGTTTGGGGACTTTTTCGTGGGATGTCCTTTAAGGCAAGGGGTTTGGGGTGTAGTTCCGGTCCGCGTTTCAAGGGACTCAAACCCTGGCACAACTTCAAAGGAGAAAGCCGAAGGGCAGCTTACGGATTTGGGCCATGTGGACACTGCAACAAAAACAGAAGACCTTCCAGTTGGCAACGTCCACCAGCCAGGGGCCAGAAAAAGGCCAGAAAAAGGACAACTGGGTGGTCGTTCCGGGAGGTCGTCTCTGACCGGAACCTCACAATTCGGTTGGCATGCCGTCATTTGCTTAAGTCTCCTGGGACAAAAGTATACATATATATATATATACACATAATGTCCACACTCCCTCTAGGTCACCTCCAGTTGAAATTTGAAAACACATTCATCAAATGGAAGCATAGGTTTCATGGTCGCTTCCCACCGCTGCAACTTGCGCGCAGTTCGTGGCGGCAGATCACTGGATCACAGTGAAAAACCGGTGGGCACCAAGCCAGCGCCGGCTTCCTGACCTGCTGTTTCTGGGTTTTCCCGGGTTGAAGCCATGGTTTCAACCGGTGGCTTGGTCTTTCCCTGAGTCCTCCAGATTTGAGAGGTTAGAATAAGGGTGCCAACTTTTTTCTGTAGTCTATTTTAGTAGGGAACCCCTCCCAACCGAAAAAAGAAATGGGCCACGGACTCGTCGCAGCTTCTGGCGACGACTTTGGGGGCCCCCACCAGGGCCAAGGCAACGGCGAAGGCGCCCATGGTCGAGGACATGCTGCGCCATGGGCGGTTTTTTCTTCGTTTTTGCTTTTCCCGGGCGCCAGCCCCCACCCTAAAAAGCTGCCTGTTTTATGGGAAGTGGAGCTTTGGTAGAATTTGAAATCATTTTCCAAGAAAAACCGGTGGGGAGTCGGCCCAAGTGACTTGGCAAAGCCCCCCAAAAGGTGAGATCTGTTGCATCTGCGCAAGGTGTTCATGTCTCGTTCGTTGGGTTGCATGAGGCCACTTGCTGTTTCCAGCGGCCTCGCCATTGCGTGAGGCAGCAGCTGTGCTTTGGGGTTGGCCCTCGTTTCGGAAGCCTGGCGATGTGGACGAGCCGCATTCATGTAGCAGGCCGGGCATTATCGAGGTGAAGCGCGGTAGTTCATCTGGAATAAGCGTTCTCCGGCTAACAGTGTCTCTCGCTTTGTCTGGTCTTTGAACACTAGCCGAGTGGGGTTGGCCAATTGTCGAACACATCCAACCGAAAGGAACCCGCGGCCGCGAAGATTTTTGGCAAGGACCTCAATGGCTCCGCGGAGCTGTGTGTCACGCGGATTGCCGCAGAGTCGAAGCGATTGCGCCGGGTCTTCAAGGGAAGCCCGAGACCCCGCGCACCTTGAATTCTCAATGGTTGTCAGGGCCTGCCCCTCCAGAGCCAGTCTGGGCCTATTTCTTTCAGCATAACCATTGGAGAAACATCAACTCATCCTTACGTTATACACCTGAACATTGCCTTGTAAATGATGGTTTCACTTCGTTTTGGTGGAAAAAGCCGTGTTTCAATTGGTTGCAAAGTGTATCTTTTAAGGAGCCCTGCTCACCTGCACCTGATTTCTCAAAGACCAAGTTTCGGAAAGGTCCATTGGCCGAGTTCTTTGAGGACCAAATTCACACCGCATGGGGCCCCAACCAACAGACGACTCGTGACTTGTGAAGGGCCCTTTGGCTCGAGGGAAGCAAAATCTGCTCGGCGTTTGGGCATTCGGCGTATCCTTGACAACCATATGATCTGTAGGCGGACGTGTTGTTCCCGGCCGCCCAGGCACCCCAAAGGTTGCCCGGTTCTCCTTTTAAGAACACCCCATCACCCCGCCCCCTTCAATAAGCCTGGCGGATTGCTGGGCTGTTTCCCCCAAAACCAAAAGGCGTCCAAAATCCGAAAGGGGCTGCACCTCATCAAAACCACGCGTTTTGGCAATCCTGCCCCATGAAGACCGGGGGGTCACCACACGGGCGTCAGCCCTCCATGGAAAAACGGGAATCTGCTCGCATCGCCTAATCAAAAGCCGCAGAGCCACGCTGACGTCTGCATTGAATCGTGTGGCATTCGCCGGAAAGCTGCGAAAAAGGTAAGGGCAAGAGAAAGGGCAACCGGTGCTTGCTCATTTCCCCTTGGCAAAAGCCATGGCAACGACTAGATAGTACCAAGAAACTAAGAACAAGTTACCCGTACAATTCGATGAGAAAATGCCTAGCACCACTCATGGCAAGCAGGCGTCTCGTGGAATGCATGCAACACGAATTCACACGACCGCCCGGTTTCAGGCTATCGTCTATTCAGTCTGCATTATCTGCCTCATTCCCCACAATTACTCCTTCTGCCACAAACTCCTCTCCACCAAAGCAGAAGTCGAACCTCAGCCGTTTCGAGATGTGAGTCGCGCTTGAAGTTGGTATCAAAAAAGGCTTATCTAATAAATATCTACATACATATGCATATATGCATGTATGTATATTATACGATATATATATATATATATTATATACATTCCACGATGGCATATTGTCAAATATGTCCCTAGCCTTGGCACAAACCGGGTGTGGTTTCTGCTCACGGTGTGGCTTCTCATGCTGAGCACAGCGCACGCAAGCATCCAGCTTCATCTTGTCCTTGCCAGCGGTGTCGTCGAATTTTTCGGCGGAGCCCCCTGCCATTTCAAAGGGAAGCCAAAAGGAAATGAATGATTCCAATGAATTATCAAAAGCTTTTATTGGAATTATTGAATTTCAACAGCTTTTAATTTGGTCCTTTACCTCTTCAATAACACCAGAGGCCTACGAGGTGTATCTGGGGCCGATTGGGACCCTATTTGCAACCTCAGGCGGAGGGGACAGACTCAGGCGACGGGTCTAAAGCTTTTAATTCAAAAGGGAATTCATGCCATTGTCACTACAAGTCCAAAAGCTGAATGAAGAAAGGGATCCGATCCCCAAAAGCCTTCATGGTGACCTCGCTTTACCCCCGGATCGGTGAGCTCGCCATTAGCTTAGGCACACTCACCTTTTTGGTTTGTCTTAAAAGGAAAAGCAAAAGGAAAAACATAGACCCTCCACCAAACCGACGTGGGCTCAACCTCCCCTTTCAGACTTTCAGACCACCGGAGACACCTTTTCCTTTGTCTCACAGGCAAAGGGCTGCACAATGGCAGCAAAATACAATGGCAGGGAAGAGGCCGCGAATGATTCTGAGATTTGAAGGCAAAAGGCCTCTTCTTTACTGGGCTGCCCCTGCTAAAAGTGACTAACTTTTAGTGGATTAAATGGACATTTACCACTAAACCAACTAAAAAGCTAAAAGGCTAAGGAACCAGATGGCTGGGAGCCAGCAAGTTTTGACTGGTCTGTCCTCAGATCTGCTACAAGCTTAACTTGCGGGTTCAACGGAAACCCCCAACTAAACCCACCAGGCTGGGAGCCAGCAAGTTCACCAAACGAACCCCTCTGTCCTCCTCTTGCCCTTCCTCCGCCAATGCTTCTTTGCACTTGACAAGGCCTTTCTCCTTGGTCTCGGCATCGCAGTCCTCCAACGTTACCTCGCGCGTGAACGTGAAATAGGCACCACTGGCCCGAAGGCAGTCTTCCACTTGGGCTAAGGTTAAAACCGAATGTTCAATTCTAGGATTGGACTATCGCAATATCGTAGGATTGCGGCGATATGCTATGATGCAAGGCCAACCCACTTGGACTGAAGATTAGAGACTAGTCAATTCTCGGGCCTTTCGGCATGGAGCTCGTGAGGGCATCTGGTTTTTCCCCGCTTGTTTGTTGAATTGCTGAGCTCGGCGCAGGAGTAACCGGCGGTTCACATCCACTCCCACCGATTCCCACCCAAGTTGGAGTGGAGTCGTCAGGGCAAAGGGCCGAGATTTGAAATGCCAAACATTGACCCAGAGAAGGCCTATACTTCAAGAGCCAGGGTGCTTGGTAAGTGGGTCACAACCATGGTTACCCACTGAACGGAGACTTGTACACATGGCTTGGGCTATCTATTTTTCACCAGGCTTACTCACCACTGACGTGCAACGCCCCTTTAGGTACAAACCACAGGTCCTCCAGAGACGCTAGAATCAGGGCACCAACTTTTCTCAGCCTATTTTAGGGGAACCCTCCCCCCCCAAAAAGTAACGGTAAAAGGGCACCAATTGCTGGGGACCTAGAGCCTAGGCCTGGGATCATGCCGAAAACTCTCCCCGGAGCTCCTAAATGGCGAGCGAAAATCGCCAGCAAGATGGCCGAAATGATTTGGCTGTGGCTCCAAAGAAATGCACCCAAAATACAGCCAAATCATTGAGCTAAACAACAACAACAACAACAACAACAACAACAACAACAACAACAACAACAACAACAACAACAACAACAACAACAACAACAACAACAACAACAACAACAACAACAACAACAACAACAACAACAACAACAACAACAACAACAACTAAAACCAACAACAACTGGAACTTTGAGCCACCCCCCACTTAGGGGGACGGTTTTGGTGTCTCAGGGCTCAAAGGGGCGCCCTTTGCCCATGTTTTGGACAACCCAAGAAGGTCTCCTCAATAGCCTTCTGAAAGCACGAAATGCAAAGGAGCGCTGCGAGGGCCAGGAACGATGCAAAATGTCGGATACTGCGTGTTTGACGTGCAAGTGGACACCAAGCCCTGTCCATGATGCAAACTGCCCTTTAGGGGCCCCAATAGCAACATTTGGATGTGTTTCTTTCAGGGACTAGGGGCTTGATTTGGTGCGAAACCGGGAGAAAAAAAGAAGAAAAACAACTACATGTCGAAGCACCCCCATGGCTTACCAGTCCAGCCGCGCCTTGCGCGTGCTTCTTTCAAATCTTGCGGTTCCCTTAGGTGGTGAGGCTGGTAGTTGGTTAGGTGGTAGTTTCTTTCGGGGCTGTTCTCAGATGGAAACGACCACCTAACCAACTACCAGCCCAACCACCTAAGGGGACCGCAAGATTTGAAAGAAGTCGCAAGGCGCGGCTGGATTGGTAAACCATGGGGGTGCTTCGACATGGCCACGTATCACCAGGAACCGCTTCAGTTTTACGGACATCCAGAATGCCAATGTCACAGTTCAACTCAAGGCCTGGATACGATGGCAATACACAAAGCTGCCCTGACAGGGACCTGTTTTTTCCTGAAAACTTGCTTACCCGGACAAGCAACAACATGCAGTAACGAAATGGATTCCCGTTAAAACCGACAAAATAGGCAAAACATTGTTTTCAGCACACATGTTTTGGCATTTACACAAAAATAATCATTCCAGGCTTCTTAGGTGATGCGGGAAAAACCGAAACAACACGTTTCTTGGTATTTCCGCTGGGCTTCTGAACGGCGCAGGTATAGGTCTTACAACCATCAAGAGTAGGATCCTGGATCATACCTTTCAGCTGCAATCCATGCCAAGGGCATTCACCTTACCGTCTGGATGTTTTTTTAGGGTGTCCCCATTTGGCTTAAGGAATTGGCATTCATTTATCCCGTGGATTGATTTGGGTGTTGGGGTGTCCCCATTTAGCTTAAGGACCTGGGGTTACCAACCACCAATCCATCATCCAAGGCCAACTGGCTGCACGAACGGAGACTAAACACCGCCGATGCCCAGCAAACAGGACGGACCAACATTTCCCCAGCCCCCAAGCCCAGCCCTGTCTCATCAAGTATGCACGCATATCAAGGCCCCCCGAACTCATGGCACCTTGCAAAGCCCGAAAAAACGGGTCCGAAACTTTTTGCAACACCAGACATCGGCAACTTCTCCTGGGCTTGGCATCCCTAACCTTTGTCACAGGCGCGGGGGGTTCGGGGATGAAGTCCACCTTCTTCTCCTGCGGAACGAGCAGCAACATGTGCTTGTTTGCCGGTATCACTTCGATGTTGACCCTTGATCCCCCGGAAAAAATATATGCCGCTTCGTAAGGCACCCGGAAGTCGTATCTGTGACTCAAATATGCCAAAGTTCTAGAGTTCCTTGGCCCCGTTAAAGTAATGGCGTTTGGACCCAATTTAGATGAAACACCTGAAAGGCAATGCAAAAAAAAACGAAACAAAGCCACCAAACCCGTTTGGAGTCCAAAAAAAAACGAACCTCCCTTTTCTAGGGTTGTATAAGCCCCAGCTTTGTTTTCATGGTAGAAACTGAAGTTCAAGGGAAAGGGTGACTCTCAGCTGATCTGTTGGGCCCCTGCGAAGGGGTCACTGTGAGGCCCACTCCTGCCTGGTTACTGGTCTTTGGGGTCCTCGTTTTTCCTTTTTTTGGTCATGCCAACCTGAGCGACCTTAAGCGATGAAAACATCGCTCGGCGGACATCAAACGGTTATGATCACGGGGCTCTGCCTGAAACTGCAAAAACCGTTGGGTGGGAAAGCAATGCGACACACAACGATTGGAAAGGCTTCTCACCATTTTGAGGGCGACCTCGGATCTAGGTCGACACACAATCGCGCCTTTCTGTTCGGGGACAAGTTGCTGTTGTTCCCGGCCGGGCGCCAACCTGTTTCTCGGAACCATTCACCACAAGGGGGGTCAGACAAACAGATTGGGGTGTTCGAAAGATTGCCCTATGCATCTATCTATTCATCTGTCCAGTTCTCCTACTATCTAACATGGTTATCTTGTTATATTGCAATCTTGTTATATTATTATCATTCTAGGTATCTATCTATCCATCGATCTATCTATCTGTCTATCTATCTGTGATTATCTCTGTACCATCTACCTTCTACCTATCTACCTATCTACCTATCTATATATGATATGTATCGATCCATGCATCCGGCCGTCCGTCCATCCGTCCACCTGTCCATCTATCCATTCCTCTGTCTACCTATCTCTCTATCTATCAATCTATCTACCTGTGTATCTATCTATCTATCTATCTGTTTATCGATCTATCTATCTATCTATCTATCCATCTATCTATGTAGCTCTCTATATCTATCTATCTATCTATCTATCTATCTATCTGTCTATCTGTCTAATCTGCCTAGTCTATCAAATATATTAAATATCTAACCTATCGTCCGAACTAATTAATCTCTGCAATGCTCTAGCCTATCCTTCTATCTATCCATCGATCTATCGTTATCTGTCCATCTATCTGTCGATCTATCCATCCATCCATCTATCTAGTGATCAGATTAGTTTGCCGTTTTCTACCTATCTATCCAACCCATCAACCAACCAACCAACCAACCAACCAATCCATCAATCAATCAGCCAGTCAATCAGTCAATCAATCAATCAATCTATCTATGTATCTATCTAATATAGCTAGTCTATCCAAACTATCCAATCCATCTAATGGGTCTAATATATCTGTCTAATCTAATCTAATATAATACAATCTATTCTGAAACCATCTCATCTAATCCAACCAGATGGTGTGTTTCATCTATCTAACCTAATCGAATCCAATCTATCCAATCTATCTAGTCTATCTCATGTGTCTATCTGTCTCTCTGATTTAATCTAATCAAGTCTCATCTAACCTATCTGTCTGTCCCTCTAATCTGATCTCAGGTATCTAATAGCTATGTAGCCTACCTAATCTATTCTATGTCGTTCTAATCTAATCTAATCTAACCATGTTAATCATAAGCAAGCCAATCTAATCGATGTAAGCTAAAAAAACCTATCTAGCCCAATCTACTCTAATCCAACCAATTTATGTAATATATCTAGTCTAATCTCATCTAATCTATCTCATCTAAGCTATCTAGCCTAACCTAGCTAACCTATCTGATTCAACCAATCTGCCATAGTCTAATCATCTAATCTTCTCTATCTTATTTAGTCTAGCCACTCTAGTCTAATCTATCAAGCTTTACCCTACTCTACGCAGCTAGCCTACTCTAGTCGTTCTAATTTAATCTACCCTATGTATCCCTATCTATGAAATCCAGTCTAACCTAATATGTCTATCACATACATACTCATCTATCTAATCTCATCTATCAAACCTAATCTACTGAAATCTATCTAATCTCTGAAATCAACTCTACTCTAATCTATCTCATCTAACCTAATCTGCTCTAATCTATCTAGCTCTAACCTACGCTATTCCTTCTAATCTAACTGAGTCTAATCTGTCTATCTACTCTAATCAAATATATTCTAATCTGTCTACCCCTATCTATCCAATCAAATGCAATCCAATATGTCTATCTAATGCAATCCAATATGTCAATCTAATCTAGCAAATCCTAATCTACTCTCATCCATCTATGCTGCTCTAGTCGCCCTCGTTGCGCGGCCCGGCAACGCATGAGCATTGCCCCCGCACCGCTCCTCAGGGAAGATGGACTCGCTGTCGCTCACCATGCTGACACGGCTCAAAATCTGCTCCTGGGTGTCGTCACCTGAGAAAGGCCATCTCCGAATGGTAACTGGTAACTTGGTGAGTGTGACTCATGCATTCAAGCAAGTATGGGTGTGTCTTTTTTATGGGCTGGTACCCCGTGTTTTGGGTGTCTTTTTGGGTTGGTGGCCCTTTGGTGGAAAATAGGAACTACCCGTCCCATTTCTGGAGACACCCGATGGACGGACCAACGCCACAATCCAAATCAACACAGGGGGGTACCCTTTTTTGTTGGCTTTCAGGGAAACACAAAAGGAACACCACCATTTTGAGAGCCCCAAAAGAGACATCCATAGATGGATTTTCCTGGTAGAAAATGAAGCAATGAACCAGGTCAAGGGACATCTAGCTGCGACCAAAGCAACCAAACAGGACACCTATGCCTGAGAGGTAGCCGCAAGGTCTGTAGGAAAAGCCATCCCAAACTCACATCTCGATTGTTTGAGGCTCCACACCCCTGTTTGGCTTGGCTTCAATTTCGAAGGATTGATTTTCCATTCTCTTCACCCATCGTTCTCTTTGGAAACCACCCATTTTCCAGGGTTTTGGCCCATTCTCTGAAGAGAATGATGCCTGAAGAGAATGGGGAGGGTACAGCTAAATTCAAGGGAAACAGAATGGACTCCTATTTTGAGACAAAACCCATGGTTACCCGTGAGGGCGCCACAAACTTTGAGGACATAACAACCGCGGTGAGCATGCTCTGATTCGCCGATCGGTCGGCTTGAGACCTGCCCTTCCTTGCGCCGCAAAGCTTGGCAAGCTTCGCCGAGAGAAATTCTGCACTTTCACGAGTCACATCTGAGTCCTTCTTTATTGAAGTTGGTCCCCCTTTTTGGTGGATTTAAAGGGAAACCAACAGGACAACCACCTTTTTGGGAGGCCCCCCAAAAAAGACACACCCATACATTTTGTTCAAGAACACAGGCTCAGCAAGCCGCCCGGTTTGCTGTGTGGCAGTCCCAAAAGCCAAAGTGCAAAGCACTGGATGGCAAACCTGCCTTCAAAATGGGAGCTGGTTTGACGTCAAATCCGATTCTCAATCCCAATTGGGGAATCACTAGGGGATCCAAACCTTGCCCACCCCAAGGGGAGCATTCCGGAAGATGCACTCCGAATCGAGATTTACGTTGCAAAAGCGGACCTCAGCCTTTCATGACATGGGGCTGTCTTTCTTTGAGGCTCGGTACCCCTTGAGCTGCTTCAAAGCGCCAAAAGGAACACCGAAAACCGCCATTTTAGAGTTTGGGTCCCATAAAAAGGGCGAGACACCCGCAAGGGAAGAATCTAACTGATCAACAAAAAGCTATCCCCAAAATGGGTTGCGCTGGTAAATGGAAAGGACGACTGAACCTGCGGTCCATATCCTGGTGGCATCATCTTAAAATGGAACCCTGGTAAATGGAACCGAGGACTAAACTCTGCGGTGTTTTCGGTTTGTGTTTTGTCTGTTCTTTTCATGTTCTTTTCTTTTTTTAACAATTGTGACCCATGCATACCCTAAACCCATAACCCTAAACCCCAAAACCCCTAAATCCCAGCCGCCGCCCCAAATTCGCCGCCGGCCGTCCACCGAGCGGCTCATGTCGAAGTTGAAGTTGCCGCAGTGCCCGTCTTGGCCTCCGAGCTGCTGCGGCATGCGGATGATGGCATCGATGTGCTTCGGCCAGCGGTTCACCGTGAGCCCCACGTTGCGCACGAAGTAGGCCTGGGCGCGCCCGGCGACGTTGTGCCCCAACAGCTGAAAGCTTTGGGGTCGATGAGCCCAGATAGGCTTCGGGGTGGTCCGGGCGGTTCCACGAGGGTTCCACCATGCAGGGTTCTACCAGGGTTCCACGAGGTTCTGCGAGGGCTGCGGGGTGGTGCGAGCACTAAAAAGAGTACCGCATGCTGTTGGGGATATCACCTGAGCTTATTTTTCAAGCGCCCCGGGGAAAAACGCGGGCCTAGTTCTTTTAATAGCCTGGAAAAAAAAGGTCGGGCTGAGTCCTGCTCTCAGAAATGCGGCGTCGCACTTCATGTTGCTTTCTCTGCTTTGTAGGACGTAGGTGGGCTTTAGCCACATGAAATGTTCACGCTTGCAAAAAAAGAAGCAAAAACCGCACGACCCCTTTGAGGGTACGGATTCCCACGATCTCCGGAAAACCGATTTCGGCTTCTGTCAGCTCATTCTGCAGATCCCCGAAGCTGATGCCAACCAATTCATGGCTTGGTAAAAGATGCCAAGACCCTAAAATTACCCATAGAACATGGATATTGCCTTAAACAAATTGGGTGATGTCCTGTTTTAGTTTGAGGGTCCAGGTAGACAAGCACATGTTGTGAGAAAGAAATCCAAGAATTAGATCAACGCCTGTCCCTTCCGAAGACCTCTCCCCTGGTGAGGATTTGGAAAGAGGCATATAGCTGGCCAATATCTCAAATGAAATGTGGATTGTTGCTATTCCTTGAAATGAAACACATAGAACCAATATCTATATACATTTATATGCATCAATATTTATGCATATATATATATACATACATACACAAATTTGAGAAAATGCAGTTATGTTGGCTGTTCTCTCTCTCTCTCTCTCTCTGTCTCTGTCTCTCTTTCTCTCTCTCTCTCTCGCTCTCTCTCCCTCGCTTGCTTCATTCTTGCATGCTGGAGCGAAATGCTCGAGAGAAGAGATGGAATGAAGATTATGACAATTGACATTCACAAGATATTGAACTTCGATCTAGGTTCTAGAACTCGCTCACTTTGTATATAAGACAAAGGACATCACAGAACAGCATCTCCTCTGCATGATGATATCGTATCTCTTCATGTGAGCCTTTCACACAGGCCCGGAAAGTGTCCCTTTGCCGCTTCCCGTCCTTGATCTGAGTTCCGCTCCTTGTCCAAACCCGGACTTGGGTGACAAGATCTTTTCCTCAAACAAACAATGAGGGGCTAGTGTAACCCTTGCTTACCCAAGGATTGTCGTCATCTAAATTGGGTCAACCATTGCTTAAATAGGGATTGAACCCTAGGGAGTATCTTGACAAGAGGCAAAGATCATGTTTTGTACGGCACTATTTCGGAAATCCACGGGAACCCTAAAAAAGCATCATTCTAAAGCAACTACTTTTGCGACATCAACCCCTTTTGCTGAGTTCCTGCTGATTTGCAGAATTAGGCAAGGGCAAATCATAAACAACATGAAATGTGTGTGTGTGTGATTTCTTTCTTCGAGGGTTCCCCCCTTTTCTTTTAAAGGGAAGCCAAGAGAAAACCGCGAAAAACCATTTTGGGGGCTCCGAATCCTGAAAAAACACAACGACCCCTCCCCCCCACCCCCGCCCCTCCCCCCACCCCCGCCCCAAAACCCCAAACCCCCCCACCCACGCCCCACAGTTCCCTCCTCAAGCCGGCCTGGAGAAGCTTCACGGGGTAGCCCTTCAGCACGCCGTCGATGTGCTCCTCCCCCGGCATGTATCTCAAGTTCACCATGGGCTGGACAAAGGTCGAGGGGAAGCCTTGCAGGATCTCCTCGCGCGAAATTGGACTCATTAGTTAATCACCATGGTCAAGGTCACCCCGTTCAGTGGTGGCTAAAAGGAAACCAACCCCATTTCTGACTTTGATCACCCCCAGAAACCGTCAACAGAATGACCCCTGGCGAAAGAACAAAGAGAAAAAACAAGGGCAAAGCCAGGAGAGGGACTTTTGGTTGGCAAACAGCTGCCCCTCGCACGTTTTCATGGCACCTCACAGGGTCCCTCAAAGAAGTTGATCTTCCAGGTATCCTTCTTCAGGTGCCACGGCAACGTGGGAGCGAGGGCACGGCAGTTGCATCTCTCGCTTCGCCTTCGACTGCTTGCATCTTCGTTTTTGCACACGTGGCCATGGGCCAAAATCCAAATCGTAGCCCCAGTGGACATCCGATTCAATCCAACCACTACAATAAAGCCCACAATGGGTGGTGCTTTCACCTACCCCAAAATGGGATCCCGTTGCACGGTTTTGACCACCACAGCCACCCCCGGAAAGGGAAGTTTCGAGTTGGTCCTCTGCGCCATCTCTTTGCAACTCCGCACAATCTCGCCGAAGCAAACATGTAGAACCGTGACCCTTTAAGCAGGAACTTAACATACATGCATATGGGCATGCATTTTAATGGGAGACCCCTTGGTGGACATCATTTAGGTGGGGATTCATGTCCACCAAACACCTTTGAAGTGGTTCTCTAATAAACTCATAGCCGCGTCAGAATAAGCCTTGCGTTTTGACGGTTCCCGCTTCCCGGCAGCTGCAGCCCGAGGCGAAACGTGCATTGAAACATGGGAACGCGTGGACCGAGTTGTTGTTTTCAGGCGCTGCCCTCTAATGACAGACGCTGTGAACAAACTACAGGCCCTGCATCGCTGGCATCGCTGGCATCGCTTGCATCGTATTACTGACATCTCTGGCATCAATGGCATCCCTAGTGTCAATGCCATCCCGGCATTATTGGCATCCCCGGCATCGTAACAATGAATGTACATAACAGATTGCCCAAAGTCTCAGTTGTTCAGTGACCCTGGAGAAAAACAATTGGAACCTTTTTTTGGGGAAGACCATTTTAGTGGGGCAGCCACCAAAAGAAACGGGAAAAATAATTGGAGCCACTGAACAACTGAGAAGTACGTTCAACGCTCACATTCCCTGGGGTCATGGATTTCTCTTTGACTTTGTTGTGAGGGCTCAGAACCACAGGAGAGAGGGTTTTTTTGCTGATCCTGGGGGTTGGCTTTGCCGAGCAGAAGAAGCATGCACCTTGGTTGGCTTCCTCCCAAACTGGGTTTGCTGCTCCTCCAACAAACATAGCTTTTGTAGAAAGTGAGTAGTCACCCAAAAAAGGAGTCAATTCCTTTTGGAGGTAGGCTGCTTCTCCCGAATCAAAACACCAAAGGCGTGTGCTAACCTAGGAATCGGATGCCCCGAAAGGGTTGGCTTCGCTTCGGTTTCTCCCCGGGGACTGGATGAAACGGCCTTTGAGCCAGTCCAGGGCACAGCAATGGCGAACAAATGCAAGCGCCTCGTTCAATTTCCAGCTGTGTGATCCGAAGTAATTGATCCACTGTGCAGGACCTAGATGGACTCTGCCATCTGAGGGGGGGTGTCTTTTTTCAGTCCTAAAAACAAAAGAGATAAAAAAGACGTGGTTTTCCTTGTGATGTCCCTTTGAAACCACAAACATGGGGTACCCACTCCAAAAGGAAAAAACACAAAAACACCTCGCCAGACCCGTTGCCTGTCCTCGCCGTTCCACGTGATCTTCCCGTCCACCGGTTCGATGATCAGCGTGTTGTTGTTGAGCCAGGGCCCTCCCAGCGCCAAAGCCAGCAGCGCGGATTGGTTGCTCGGGGTGAAGATGGTGGTCCCATAGCGGCCTATGGGCTGGAATGAGCTGGGGGGGGTTGGGGTTGGGGTGGGTGGTGGGGGGGGGTTGGGGGGGGTTGGGGGGGCTTGGGGGGCTTGGGGGGGGGGGTTGGGGGGGTTGGGGGTTGGTTGGGGGGTTGGGGGGGTGGGGGGGGGTTGGGGGGGGGGGGGGGGGGGGGGGGGTTGGGGGGGTTGGGGGGGTTGGGGGGGTTGGGGGGGTTGGGGGGGTTGGGGGGGTTGGGGGGGTTGGGGGGGTTGGGGGGGTTGGGGGGGTTGGGGGGGTTGGGGGGGTTGGGGGGGTTGGGGGGGTTGGGGGTTGAGGGGGGGGTTGAGGGGAGGGGGAGGGGTGGCAAGAAGGCCGCTGTTTTGTGGGGGGAACAGCTCTTCTGTCACGTCCCCTTTCCAGATCACCAGAAACATGCTTTCGACAAGATGTTGAAACGATCCTAAAGTTGGAAAAGAAAGGACACAGCAAGGAATGCCACATGCGGCAAATTAATGGTTGGGTTTCCATGCGGTTATGTTAGTCCACAACCCAACCATTTCCTCTCATTCATTCCAGATTTACAATATTCCACCTCATACTAGTTTAACCCACTCATGAAGGGTTGTTCCTTTGATCATCCTGTTTGAGTGTTTTCTATTATCCACTATTTGGATTTAAAATAACTAACTATTTCCGGAGAATGTTTCAGCAATATCGACATAATCTATCTTTCTAGAACTGATGTCACAAAGCAGAGGGAGCAGGACGAGATATCAGATGCGATCGGTGCCCTTCCAACTGACCAAAGGGTCCAACTCATCTTGTTTTCAGTCTTTGGATTCTCAGCCACGGGCGTGGTAAGATCCTTGTGGATATCTAGCCAGAACGGGGTTGCCCTTTTCAACCAACCTAAGGGCCGCCTAGTTAGATTCAACTCGAGTGCCCACGTAGTCAAACGAAAGAGTCGCAAAAAGGAGACTCCTGGAAGACAACAAGCAACACAACAAGCGATACACGATATACATCAGTTTATGTGTATCTATATACACATATATACATACTGTGGATGGACGAAATCCTGCACCACCTAAGAAACCCTGGAATGATGATTCCCCTGCAAATACCAATGAACAATGGTTTCCCATGGTTTTGAAAGTGGTGCGAACGGATTTTGTCCACCCACAGTATTATTCACACAAAGATCTTGCTGATTTCACCTTATCTACTCCGCCCGCCAAGTGCCTTGGATCTGGATCTTTTCGTTCTTCACCAGCCAGTAGTCCCCGCTTTGCAACATGGCGAGCGACGCCACCTTCTCTTGCCCGAAGATGCCGTTGTCGAAGGGGTCGATGTGCGGATCGCCTCAGGTTTACGATTTCGTTGGTAAACGGCTTTGCGGCTTGGAGCTTAGGGGCTTTCTCCTTTTGCAGCAGCAAACACATGGGCCATCTTGGCTCACGAAGAAGGATGCACGGTCCGGCTGCCCACATATTTCACAGAAATATATATATATATATGGTCCCGTGTTCCGTGTTGCTACCCCCCCCCCCCCCCCCCCCCATCTGGTAAGGACCCCCCCCCCCCCCGGCCCGAGACCCCGAGCCCCCGGATCCTGGCACCTACGGTCCCACCCCCACCCCGACCCCCTGAACTCGCACCCCGACACCCCGGCACCCCCACCCCCAGGACAAGCCAACCCGCAACCAACCATAAACCAACCCTAAACTAACCCTAAACCAACCCTAAATACACCCTAAACCAAACCCTAAACCGTAGACCTCTAAACCTAAACCAACCCTAAATCAACATAAAGCAACCTAAATCAACCCTGAACCAACCCTAAACTAACCCTAAATACACCCTAAATATACCCTAAACCAATTCTAAACCAACCCTAAACTACATATATATGGTACAGCGTTGCCAGCCCCCCCCCCTCCCCAATGGTCATGGGTCAGACAAGTACACTCCCCTCTGTGGTTGTGGTCCTGTGGTTGGGTTGTGGTGGTTCAGGGTTGGTTTAGAATTGGTTGAGGGTATATCTAGGGTGTATTCAGGGTTAGTTTAGGGTTGGTTTAGGGTGTATTTAGGGTTGGTTTAGGGTTAGTTTAGGGTTGGTTTAGGGTTGGTTTAGTTTTAGGGTTTATTGTTTAGGGATTGGTTTAGGGTGTATTTGGGGTTAGTTTAGGGTTGGTTCAGGGTTAGTTTAGGGTTGGTTTATGTTGGTTTAGGGTTGGTTTAGGTTTAGAGGTGTACGGTTTAGGGTTTGGTTTAGGGTGTATTTCGGGTTGGTTTGGGGTTAGTTTAGGGTTGGTGTAGGGTTGGTCTACTTTCAGGGTTTATTGTTTAGGGATTGGTTTAGGGTGTATTTGGGGTTAGTTTAGGGTTGGTTCAGGGTTAGTTTAGGATTGGTTTATGTTTCTTTAGGGTTGGTTTAGGGTGTATTTGGGGTTAGTTTAGGGTTGGTTTATGGTTGGTTGCGGGTTGGCTTGTCCTGGGGGTGGGGGTGCCGGGGTGTCGGGGTGCTAGTTCAGTGGGTTGGGGTGGGGGTGGGAGGCTCGGGGTTTTGGGCCGGGGGGTCGGGGTCCTGGACCCATACCATCTGGAGGGGGGGGGGGGTAGCAACATGGAACACGGGACCATATATAACATATAATAATATAATATACCCTCCTTCCAACAATCATGGAAGTGGACAGGGGGCTTCCCCAAGAGGAAAACAGTCTTTCAACACCCTCCTGTCAGCTTCCATGATTGTTGGAGGGAGGGTAATTTACTTTGCTGGTTTTCAGTGGAGCGGCCCAACTACTGGAGCCCACGTGCGGCCTCGCGCGGAGAGCGCTCTCCACTTTTCAGAAGGCCTGCCCCAAGTCCGGGACCCCAGCTTAGTTCGACGCGGGCTGCTCTTCTCGTTGGCTAATTGGCGACAGTGGCAGGCATGCCTACTGGCACCTGCGAGCTGAAACTTGAGTCCCACGAGCACTTGCTCGTCGTGCTTCTCTTCCAGCGGAGTTTTCATCGGGAAGCTGGCGACGCGCTCTGGATTGTTCGCTCCTGCCGCAGGAGGCTGTGGGTAAGCGGGCCTGCAGTGCACCTGTTTACCAGGCGCGCTGCAACCTTCAGCAAGTCCATGACTCGTTGTTCTTCGCACTAAGATTTGTCTTTGACTCCACTAACGCGGGAACTTGGAACGCTGGAGTATGCTCTAGCTTTTCTCCGAACGGTTTTGGCAAGATCACCAGCTCGGCAAGCTTGTGCGGGGAAGCGCTGCTGGTTTTACGAGGTCCACACGTCGGAAACCATCAGAGATGTGGCTGTGGGTCAAAACCAATGGTACCATTCTGGGGTAGGTGCACCACCCATTCTAGGCTGTGTTTTAGTGGGGATTGGGATGTTCACTGGGGGTACGATTTGGATTTTGACCCATGGCCATGTATCTATCACAGCTTTCGTAAGTCTGGTGAAAAGGCTCCTGATGAGCGCAAGGTACGCAGACTCCTCGTTAAGCGAATCCAAATCATCTCTCTGGTTGCCCTTTTTGTCTTGCAACATTTATACTCATAGAAATCTGGAGAACAATGATGTGCGATCGGGCCAAAGCCCTAGCCCGAACCAAATGATGTTGAGGGTAGTTGGGCTGTTTGGCTGGTCATTTAAGGGGGAGTTTCTGTGTTGGCTCCTTTCCCAATCTCCCTGGATATGCCCCTGTGGGTATTTTCACACTACCAATCTAGCTCCCTACGGGAGAAACAGTAGCCTTCCCTTTCCAATGGATACCGGAAAAGGCACCCGTTCCATTTCTGGACACGTGCTGGACGGCCCAACAATCCAAATCAACCCACCTTAGGCCATGGTCATGGTTCCCTCAATTGGAATATTGTCTGAGTGAATATAATATTTCACCAACCTGAAATAAGGTGGTTCGGGGGTTTATTCCCCACATAAACCACCATTTGGGGTGAGGTCGTGTGAGGTCCTCATAATTCACCCAGATATTATCATGGTTCTTAATTGATCCTGGGGATGACCGTCCCTGTCCCCAAGTGAAGGAACTTGGCTCTCTTGACCATGGCAATGGATCCAAATAAGTTTTTTTTGGGGATACCTGCTTTTGGTTGGTTAGAGGGAAATTAAGAGGAACACCGCCTATTTCAAAGTAAGACACGCCCAAATCTTCCATTTGCGTGGGCCCTCCAAAAAAACACCAATGCAAAAACCATGTAGTGATAACTCCCAGCTTTCAAACCAACAAGGCAAAATAATAACAATAATAAGAATAATAACAAAAAAAGAAAGAAAACTAAAACAACCAAACAAATAACTAAAAAACAAACTAAAACCACCTTCAGATGGAAGATTTCTCCTCCGTGAGACACTCCGAGGCGGGGACCCCAGATGGTGCAGGTGGACCTCACCGGTTCGATGGAGGTCTCCATGCGGAACTCCGAGCCGCAGCAGCGCCGCTCCGCGAAGAAGAAGCTCAGGTCCACCGCCTCCCCTCACGTCGTGAGGTGAGACGTGGAGGACGTGGGTCAGTGTTCAAAACCCACGAATTCAAATGGTCGATTTGCAAAACCATGTAAAGAAAAAAAGGGGGTGGATAACGGAGATCCGCAGCTCTTTTGTGGCTGGGATTGCTATTTCTATCCTTCATCTACCCGTGTTTTGAGCACGTGGCTCACGTGGAAGACGTGAAAGGAAGCGGCGGCACGAAGCGGCAATCGGAGATCGGAGTTCGGGTCGTTTGGGGGAAAAAGACGGGCAGCCAAAGATGGGCGACTTGGAACTCGTTTGGGGGAACTCGTTTGGGGGAACTCGTTTGGGGGAACTCGTTTGGGGAAAGACTGGTCGCCAGCGTCCAAAGTTGGGCGACTTGGGCTTCTTTTTGCTTTTTGGGGAGCAGCGAGTCATTTTGGGCAAAGCAGAGAAACCACTTAGAGCGGTTTAGGGTGATTGACGGCTGTGATTTTTTTGTTTACTGAGATGATCCTTGTATGTGGCAGGCTCAAATCCCCAAACCCCCAATCCAAACCAAAATCCAGGGCCTTTTGTTTGAGTTCCCTTTGACACCACCCGGAGAATTCAACGCCGTGGGGTGGAATTGTGACGGCTTAGGCTTTGGAGTTTAGGGTTTCAAGGCCAACAAGCCATGGTCCTTTTGAGCAGAGAAAATGCCGCCTCGGGAGACCGACATCGCAAAAACTCAGGGCCTTGTCCTCTGAGCAATCTGATTGGAAGCACTTTTGGTTGCAAAACGAAAACCATATCTTTGGCCTGGCTCCCTTTGATGTTTTGCCTTGGCTTCTCCCTGCCACTCCTTGCGAACAATCAGTTCCTGCGTTTCTACCGCATTTTGCCGAATCTTGCCTCGATTTGTATACCCTACGACTCTTCTTTTGGCAGGGACAATCGGCTCTGGGGGCCCTCAAACATAGGCGTCCTTTTAGGGGAAATAGATGGTCCTGGTAGATGATTAAACCACCAGGTAAACCAGGGCCATCTATTTTTCTACCAAAACATCCTCAAACCTGAGCCCCCGCTCGTCGCCTTCCGTCAAGTTGAGGTCGTCAATCATGAAGCTCTTCTCCATGGGGTTGTGGACACCCCCCAAGTCGATGACCAAGCGGTCGTTCATGAAGACCCAGACATCATCGTCGCCCCGGAAGGTGAAAGACAACCCGGGGATGTAGACGAAGGAGGCGTGCATTTCCAGGGTGAAGTAGAAGTTGTGGGAGAGGTTGTCCAAACCTGCGCATGGGCTCGTGCTTTTGGAGGTTATCCATTTGTTCCCATGGTTTTAGAGGGGCACCAAACGAAAACCGAAGCCCAGTTTGGGGGCTCCAACTCAAAAAGAGACCTCTCTTTGCCACATGGGTCGCTGGACTGCGGCGGTTGAGACTTACTTCGTCTGGTCGGGTCCGCGGAGTCTAATGCCCACTTCGGGAGGTCTGACAAAGGAAAACATGTGTCCCAGTCCCTGTCAAGAACGAAAGGGCACATCGCATGGGTGTTTCCCTAGGGAACCCGAGGTTCCTTGGTGAGACCTTTGTTCCCCAAGGTTCCAAACGTATCCGCATCTTTGGGTGCGGACCATGAGCACTCACGGCACAGCAGGAGTTGAGAAGAACGGCCAGGATTCGGTGAGAATGCTGCGGCGCTTGCTTGACAGCAGAACGGTAAGTGAAGACAGAGAGACGTCTCAAAATAGTTAAGCCTTCTTTGGGGCGGTGTTGAATGGAAACCCAAAGACGGCCAAGCGGGGTCAACGGTGAAAACCCCAGAGGGTCAAACTGGTTTGGACGCCGCGGAATTGATAAGCAGGGACCCGTGGATGGACTGAACTTTCGGGGTCAGCCTTACCCTTCCAATTGTGTATGTTCCCTCTAACGCTTCCTTTTGGTTTCCCCTTTTTTCACCTACCAACAAGGGGTACCAACTTCGCCTCAAAAGACGAAACCAGAAAACTGAGGGACCTGATGGGACCTGGGCCTCCTCCCCAATCTTTCCCCCCTCTCCCCAAAACCCAGCCGCCCACCGCCGCCCGCCGCCCTGAAACCGTGGCACCTACCGCGGTGTCGTTCCAGCCCTTCCCGTCGATGGGGAAGAAGGACTTGTCGTCATGCACATAGGTGCCCTTCGGAGACTTCACGAAATCCATCCTGCGCAAGGAAAGAAAACCGGTTGCTGCCCTCAGATCCCCCGCTAAAAGTGACTAACTTTTAGTGGGTCAAATGGCAACTACCACTAAACACTAAAAAGCTAAAAGGCTAAGGAACCGGATGGCTGGGAGCCACCAAGAAAACACAAATCCTCCGCGGAAGCCATTTTTTTTCCGGAGCCCCAAGATCGGTGGTGTCTCTGTGACCCGGCTGAAATAGAAACACTTACAAACACAAACGCACATGCAAAAAACAAAACATCTATAGGTGAATTATAATAGTTCACCAGCCTGAAATAAGGTGGTTGGAGGGATATTCCCCACATAAACCACCATTTGGGGTGAGGTCCTGTGAGGTCGTTATAATTCACCCACAAACATGAAAGGGAAGACTTGCAACTAAAGAACCCGAGAACAAGCATTTGGCCTTTTGGGCAAGCCAATGAATGGGTATGGGTCAAAATTAAACCACCAGGGGACCGCAGGTTTTGGTCCATGTTTCCATCTACCAGGATTCCTTTTTGGGTACATATTGTTGACCCACAGCCAGATAGTTTCAGGTCGAGTTGGTTGATGCCCACACAGTCAATATCTTATTTGTGGGCGGCTCAGCAAATGGGTGTGTCTTTTTTGAGGGTACCATTATCTTTGCGTGGTTTTAGTTGTGTTTTTTCAGAAATCAAAAAGGAACACCACTATATACATATATGTGTGTATATATATATATATATGCGCATGTGTTTACTTTATGTTTTTCGATTCTTTTTTGTTGGCAAAGGTGGGTCTGCCCAACTGTGCCGGCCCAACCATTCATTTCCCTTCTCGCTGGGGGCCCCCGGCTTAAACTCGATGCGCTTGTTCACGCCCGGGACGTCGTTGAACCACATGTCGAAGTTCTCCTTGGTGGAGAGCTGAAGACCTGGCGCGAAGGGAGCAAGGTTGACTTCCTAGTGCGAGAGATGCCTTGGGAATGAGACATGGAATGATCCCTATAAACCATCCAACTGGTTTCCTTTCAGGGACCCTGTTGAGTAAGATTGGTGGTGAAAACCTGGCCATGGGTCAAATCCCGTGCCCCTTTCTTACTTTTTTGTTGTTTTTATCTCACAACTACTGAGTACCCTGTTGCCTTTCAAGCTGAGATCGAAGGAAACCACCGGATCAGTGAATGTAGGGTTGCCAAGCAGGATTTTCCTTTTGTTGGACCTTCAAGGGGAAATCCAGAAATGGCCAAGTCTCAAAATCCGATTCAATCCAACCACTAAAATAGGTTCTTTCCTGGGTGGTGCTTTCACCAACCAGAATGGGCACAGCCCCCTGGTGCGAAGGCTTGGGATTTGAGCAAAAAGTTTTGACTTGCGATCGCTGCGAGAGCCTCGGGAAGGAGATATGAAAACCACGATCCCAAGAAAAACCCCGCGACTGGTGCCCTTTCTTCGCCAGAAAACCCCCCATGAAACCGATTTGACCGGGCCGGTTCACCTGATTTAACCTTAGACCCAGGTGATGTGTCCAAAAAGCTACTGTGCACATCGGCGGTCAAATACCTGCCAAAACCAAAAACACACCCGGTTGGCGCGGACAAAAGGAGCACGACTCTCACGGTTGTCCGCGGGACACCTGTTTTGCCCCTTCTGCCCCTGCCTCCCTTGTAAACCGGCTTCTTGTCCGGACCCAAGATCGGCTCTACCTGGGTCGGTGTCGGCCGCGAAAGGAAGAGACTGCTTGCAAGTGGCATTTCGGCCAACTGAACCAAGCTCGCGGAATTGATCGGAACAAAGCTGGCGGACACTCGCCATCTTCAGCAAGAGCTCCCCAAGATGCCAACAAAGCTCAAAGGGTTCCAAGAGATCAAAGCGACCAAACAGCTGGGCGGTGAGTCCAACCAAACCACGTCCGAATCTCGACAGCTTTGAAGGCTTCGGAAAGACGGCGAGCTGCCAAGCCGGCACTGTGGCCATCGAAGCTCTGAAAGTCCCTGTGGGTCTCCTTGAAGTCGCCTGGACCCCACTTTCTGCCGAATCTTGACGCTGGAGCGACTTCTTGTTTTTCTTTTACGCGCTTTTCTGCAGGGAGTCGTCCAACTAAAAAAATTCGGAGACCCTGCCTGAGGGGATGGCCCAAAAAAAAGCCCCAAACTGTCCGGCATGCCGCTCAAAACGGTGTTCCCAAGAAGTTTATCAAGTCTATGAACTCAGGCAGTGGGACGTTTTTGCATCCACTTCAAAGGCAAAAACACAAGAAAAACAAGGCGCCAGGGTCCAGCAAGAAACTGGCCAAATGTGAGACCCATGTTGCAAGAATGATTCGGGCCTTCTAACAGGCCGCTTTCTTTGGGGGGGGGGGCCGGGTTTCCCGCTCGGCTTTCCACTTGTTCAAAGCCGATGTGAGATGCTGGAAAGCAGTTTCAAGGGCAAGGGACAAAAGGGGAAAGGTGAGCTGATGCCGAAAGAGCATCTCTAGGAAGGAAAGAGACCCCAGCGACCTTCTAACCTGGGTCGCAAAGTTGAATTGTCACTTCGCAAAGTGCACGCGGCCGGGATCCCCTCTTTGCTCATGCTCACCTCACTTGCCCAAAGCGAATGGAGCTTTTTCGCCTTTTGGCTTCCCTTTGGTTCGCAGTTCGTCCAGGTTCCGAAAGGTTCACCTTTTTAATTCCAGGTTCCAAGCGGATGAGTTACAGGATCGGGATCCCTGCCCCTTGGGTCCTGGAGTCGGGATCCCGCAATGTACCAACCTCTGATTCCCGGGGGTTCAAACCACCCGCAAGGAACAATGGCTGGGTTCATATGGCCGGACTTGTTGTGGTCCCTGACCGGTGGTACTTGGTTGGGTTCAATTAACCACCATTTACCTAAGGATTCTCCTCCCAATCGGGTCTGTTTGGGCCATTCTCTTCATGGTGCAAGGAACCTTAGGGGGAAGACCGCACAGAGGGATCCGACTCGCATCGGCCCCAACTACACGAGAATGAAAATGAACATGGGAACCCCCCTCTTAGGGCTTTGCAATGTAAATCCACAGGAGGGCTTTGCAAGCTCCGTGATCGGAGAAAAAAAAGAAAAGAAAACTAGACGACGAGTGGCCCGGAAGCATAGAGGCAAGTTGATGCACGTGAGGTAACTCTCGCAAAGTTAGCATGAGGAGTTGGCAGGCGAAGCAATTCTCAAAAAGTTGGCATGAGAAGCTGGCAGGTTAAGTAACTCTCGAATAGTTGGCTGGCAAAGTTGGCGGGTGAAGTAATTCTCGCAAAGTTGACATGAGAAGTTGGCAGGCGAAGTAACTCAAGAGAAAAGTTGGCATGAGAAGTTGGCAGGTGAAATAACTCTCAAAGAGTTGGCATGAGAAGTTGGCAGGTGAAGTAACTCTCGAAAAGTTGGCGTGAGAAGCTGGCAGGTGAAGTAATTCTCGAAAAGTTGGCACGAGAAGATGGCGCGTGAAGTAACTCTCGAAAAGTTGGCGTGAGAAGCCGGCAGGTGAAGTAACTTTCGAAAAGTTAGCATGAGAAGTTGGCAGGCGAAGTAATTCTCGAAAAGTTGGCGCGAGAAGTTGGCAGGCGAAGTAACTCTCGAAAAGTTGGCAGGCGATGTTGGCAGGTGAAGTACCTCTCGAAAAGTTGGCATGAGAAGCTGGCAGGTGAAGTAATTTTTCGAAAAGTTGCCACGAGAGGTTGGCAGATAAAGTATTTCTCGAAAAGTTGGCATGAGAAGTTGGCAGGTGAAGTAATTCTCGAAAAGTTGGCAGGTGAAGTTGCCACGAGAGGTTGGCAGGTAAAGTATTTCTCGAAAAGTTGGCATGAGAAGTTGGCAGGTAAAGTAATTCTCGAAAAGTTGGCATGAGAAGCTCGCAGGTGTAGTAACTCTCGAAAAGTTGGCATGATAAGCTCGCAGGTGAAGTAACTCCTCGAAAAGTTGGCACGAGAAGTTGGCAGGTGAAGTAACTCTCGAAAAGGTGGCATGAGAAGCTGGCAGGTGAAGTAATTCTCGAAGTTTCGGCATGAGAAACTGGCAGGTGAAGTAATTAACCCTCAAAAAGCTGGAGCGGCGGAGGCGCTCCGCGTGCTACATTTGCAATTTACAGTTGCGATTTTCCAGCCATTTGTATCTAAAAGTTGCGATTTTCCAGCCGGAGCTGCGGGAGCACGCTCCGCGTACTACGTCTGTACTTAAAAAGTGCGATTTTCCAGCCGGAGCTGCAGCAGCCTCCGCGTACTACGTCTGTACTTAAAAGTTGCGATTTTCCAGCCGGAGCTGCAGGAGCACGCTCCGCGTACTACGTTTGTACTTAAAAGCTGCGATTTTCAAGCCGGAGCTGCCGCGGACCAGGGGGGAATCGAACCCGGGACCGCGGGATTGCGAAAGCAGGCGCGCACACCACGAGACAACTTCCAAAAGCCGTTTCGCGAGCAAGAAAATCGCACGGCGCCACAGCGAGAGCGCTTCGACACGCACGATCTCCGCAGAGGGTTCATCGGGCTCAAGACAGATGCGCACGGCGCCACAGCGAGAGCGATCCGACACGCACGATCTCCGCAGAGGGTTCGCCGGTCAAGACAAATTCGCACGGCGCCACAGCGAGAGCGCTTCGACACGCAGGATCTCCGCAGAGGGTTCGCCAAGGTCAAGACAAATTCGCACGGCGCCACAGCGAGAGCGCTTCGACACGCACGATCTCCGCAGAGGGTTCGCCGCGACCAAGACAGATTCGCACGGCGCCACAGCGAGAGCGCTTCGACACGCACGATCTCCGCAGAGGGTTCGCCGCGCTCAAGACAAATTCGCACGGCGCCACAGCGAGAGCGCTTCGACACGCACGATCTCCGCAGAGGGTTCGCCAAGGTCAAGACAAATTCGCACGGCGCCACAGCGAGAGCGCTTCGACACGCACGATCTCCGCAGAGGGTTCGCCGGTCAAGACAAATTCGCACGGCGCCACAGCGAGAGCGCTTCGACACGCACGATCTCCGCAGAGGGTTCGCCAAGGTCAAGACAAATTCGCACGGCGCCACAGCGAGAGCGCTTCGACACGCACGATCTCCGCAGAGGGTTCGCCAAGGCTCAAGACAAATTCGCACGGCGCCACAGCGAGAGCGCTTCGACACGCACGATCTCCGCAGAGGGGTGCGTTTCGTAAGCTCCCGTCGGGCCTACCCCCGCCATAAAAAGAAGAAGAATTAAGAGTCGAGATGTGAAGGTAGAACAGAAAAGTTAGCTTGTGTTTTTAGGATAGTGAAGTAACACCCGACAAATTAGCTTGTGCTTTTAGTAGAATGAGATAACAGCCGAAAAGTTGACATGAGAAGTTGGCAGGTGAAGTAACTCTCAAAAAGTTGACATGAGAAGTAGGCAGGTGAAGTAACTCTCGACAAGTTGGCATGAGAAGTTGGCAGGTGAAGTAACTCTCGACAAGTTGGCATGAGAAGTTGGCAGGTGAAGTAACTCTCGACAAGTTGGCATGAGAAGTTGGCAGGTGAAGTTGGCAGCCGCTTTTAGAAGAAGAACCCTTCGCAATGCTTCCGGGAAAAAACTTCAAAACCCCCAAAATCCCACAAACTCTCCCTCAAAGTCCCCCCCCCCTAAACTCTCCCCCAAAATCCCCCAGCCCCTCCCCTACCTTCCAACCCCGCCCCCCCCCAAAGAAAAAACTCCCCCCCCCCCCCCCCCGCACCCCGAAACCCGCCCGCCCCCGCACCCCGCACCCCCGCCCTTCTCCCCCGACGCTCCGTTTCAACTTCGGGTCGAGGCGCGGATGATCGCGTCGAAGAAGATCGCTTCCGGACCTGCTTCCGGGTCCACGGCTTCGTTTTTTTTTTTGGGGGGGGGGGGAGATTTTGGCGCCGGCTGGGAAAAAGGTTAGAGGTTTCAGCCATTTTTTTGGCTCAGATCCAAGTCCAAACCGGGCTCCAAGCCATGTTGCTTGTTCTTTTCTGTTCTTTTCTTTTTTGGGGCGGGGCGTGGTCACCCGAAGCTCAGAACTGTAAAACCGCGAGGCCGGGAGTCTGGCAATGGGAACAAAAAACATCCCTGAGATTGGGAGGTGTTGGACCAAAAACGACCTTGTGGAATCAAATATTCTCTGCTGTCTCAAAATAGGGGAACCTCCCAAATGGATTTCGCCGTTCCTGCTGGCGTCCCTTTGCCATCCGAGAAGGGCTCCCTCGAAAAAGAGGGGACCACGCACATCTAAACCGAAACCAGTGGGACCCATCTATTTCTGATCATAAACCAAGGGTCGACCTATGGGAAGTCACGCGCTTTCGAGGGCCCGGGATTCCAGGATCAACAGCCGGAACCACCCCTGCCTTTTCACATGCCGGTCCCTTTACAAGCAAACTGGTCCAATCCAAGGTCGCCCAAACATCAAACGTGTCCACGTTAGAGCTGGTTTTTCAAGGGCTTCCCAAAAACACTGCAATGTCAAGGGAAGTCCGAATACCCAGGCCCATCGCCCGGTTTCTGGCATCCGCCCCTGCAACAAGTGGAGTCTTTACTACCTGGAGTCTTCATGATCCTTGAAAAATGTGGTGATTACCCAAGATTAAGGGGTTGTGAACCCTGTTTTCTAGGGGTCATGGAGACTCTAGGTACTTGTTGGGTCCAAGACGGAATATCCCATCTGTGTCAACCCCCAGAAGTGAGACCCTGTCCAAAGATTCCTGACCAAAATCGCACGAAAGAATCGCCTCCACTCGAATTTCCCTTTCCCGACTCCTTCAGCACCTTCTCAAAATCGGAACCAGGGGCTCCGAAGGCTCGATTTTTGGATTCCCTCCCTTCGAGTGAACTCTGCCAATCATCCAACCGAATTCGCCCGAATTCGGTAAAACGTAAATACCCTAGGGTTCAACTGGCACCCATTGATAGAATGGCCAAAAAAAACAAGTTGGATGACAATCAGGTAAACTATGGTGGTATGAGGCCAAGCATTGTTTGAATGGTGGTTCGAACCCCAGGGCAGCAACGGCGTGGGAAGTTCGAGAAATAGGTTGCTTCAGAAATCAGCGACCCCCAAACATGCTTGCAACTTGGATTCCCTTTTTGGGAAAACCCGGCCGACCAAAAGACAACATGGCCATGGGCCAAAATCCAAAATTCCGTACCCCCAGTGAACATCCGATTCAATCCCCACTAAAATAGGTTCTAAAATGGGTGGTGAATTCACCTACCAACCAAAATGGGATCCCATTGGTTTTGACCCAGAATGTATATTTTATTGTTTGCTTCACTTTCAGTCACTGGTAAAATGTAAGATGTCTCCCAAAGTCTAGACAGGAAAAAGACAACACGGAAAACAACAAACGAATCGATGCGCCTCCCAGCACAACCTCCTGGGCCATGCGCGGCAGCTCCTCAGCAGCATCACTTTGGATGGAGGGAGGGTACCCTCCCTTCCACTGACATGGCGCCCATGGGAGGGTACCTGAAAGACAAGTTTCCTCTTGTAGGGACTCCTGGAGATGCCGTGTTGGTTGGAGTGAGAGTAACTGAACGGATATCAATACCTGAACGGATCACCTGTTTTTGTTCCAGTGGTGCTGACAATCACATTTACCAGCTGTGGAGGATCCACTTGTGAATCAGGTGATTTTGGGATGTAGTTGGATCACCTGACAAAGGGGGGCGAGGGAAAAACGGGAGCCATGTCGGCACTTGCAACCAACCGGAGAAAAACATGTTCGGCCCTTCCATTTTGAGAAACACATACCTGGAAGCTTTGTTTTGCAGGAACACCTCAGGGAAAGCGGGAATTGCGGTGTTTGGGCGATGAATTCGCCATTTAATGAGACACCACATAGATACACCACGCCGAAAAGAAGGGCCATCACTTGAGTCGTAATCATAACCTGGTATTAAAATGGTCACCCCAGAACCACGTAAGGAACCCAAAAAGGCGTCTGACAGTTAAGCAGTGGCCAAACAACTCATGGACTTTTCTACCAAGATGGCTATCAAGGTTTACACAGGCTTTGCTATAGCCCCAATCCTGCGGCTGCCCGTTTTCTGATCCCCGGCCAAACAACTAACTTTGAGCGGGTTAATCCAAAAATCTGGGGAACCGTACGGCTGGGAACCGCCACCTCCAGGGACTCCATTTGCTGAAGCCCTCTGGAACAAATACAGATATGTCCAATAGTCATAGATCCCCTTAAAAAAACCACCAGAACAAATATAACATGTTCTTAAGCGAACGGAAGCCAAGAATTGAACTGGATAGAACCATCTGCAAAAATGGCCAAGCCCTGACAGGGGCGGTTTGCAGCGCTCGGCTGAGGCCGAAACCGACGTCACTGCGACTGGAGGGACCTCTGCCGATTCATGGCGCCTTGGCGGCGTACCAGTCAAGTCAGCAGCCCAAAGTAGGCTCAAAGGCATTGTACTTTTGTTTTCCTAAACAAAAAAACGTTGGGTTTGGGCTGGGTTTTGCAACAGCCAAATCTTTATCAAAGCTCGATGCAAAAGGCCAACGCATCCCTCCGAGTTTCTTCGAAGAACCAATACAGGCACAAACACAGCCCAGGCAGCCCAACCATCGCCCTTCACACAGGGCGGCACACCCACCACGGCTCTCGCGGTGTTCCAAACGCCGCGAGATGCAGAAGCCTCAAAGCCTTTGGCCGAGCTCAGCGCCCGACCAACCAAACCCCCGCGACAAAATTTGCCATGGGTCAACGTCTGGTAGCCCCCAGTGAACATCCGATTCAATCCAACCACTAAAGTAGGCTCTAAAATGGGTGGTGCATTCACCTACCAACCAAAATGGGATCCCATTGGTTTTGACCCACAGCCATTTGTCCAATGCCGCGGGAAGCTTTCTCTACCGCAGGGCAGCACGGCAAGCAAGCTCACAGACTTCTGCAGTTTCCATGTGGGTGGCAACCAAGCCGAGTTCACTTCCGACCCTCCCACTTTCCGACATGCCACGTGAAATGCACACTTCAGAGGTTTCCTATGCATGGGAAGCATAGGAAGCCCTGCACAATGTCACTTTGCCTGCCTTGGATTCAATTGTTCACTGAACAGGGCTGATGAGCGGGCCGTAGTACAATATTCTTGTGGGTCAAAAATAGGTACATAAGATGGGTTGCCCTGGTAATGGAAAGAAGGACTGAAATCTGCGGTCCCCGGTAAGTTAATTTTGACCCATATGGCTCAATCCGCAAAGCTGCTGTCACTTCCTCAGCCGGCATGAGCGCAGTAGAAAAAGAAAAACGCTGCAACACAACCTTGAAGTCGAGCAAGGTCCACTCAAGGTTCCATTGGCCCACACAACAGTTGGGTGTGTCGCTTCTTCAGGGTACCCCTTGCTTTTGTTGGTGCGAAAGGGAAACCAACGAGAACACCGGAGCCATTTTGGGGGCCCGAATCCTGAAAGGATACACTGAATTTCTTGACAAAGTGAACAAACTGCTATTAGCCTTCATAAATTAACCATTGACCTTGATGAAATGGTCGTTGGGCTGGCTCTGATAACGCGGCCATTGGGGTTCACATAGCAGCTTTATCAAAAGCTCCGCGTCCATGAGCGAGCACTGCGTGCCATGGGCCTCTGAGACTCCGCCATACTCCGCCCAGGCGCGCGACTCCTTTGGCGAGGGCACCTCTGCCATGCTGCAACAACACCTCAGCTGAAAGCCGAACGGTCGACGCAAATAGCCAGGACCAACCACAATCCAAATCAACCGCCATGGTCATGGTTCCCTCAAATGCTCATGGTTCTGGAAACAAATCGTCAGGGGGACACAGCTTTCAGGTCCACCAACTACTTGTGCGGTGGGTCCCTATTGAGATTCATAGCCACGTTCTGTCAGAAACAAATATCAGTTCACAGCGCAGCACACATGTTGGACCGCAGAGCTGGCTCTAGGTCTTATCTTCCAACGAGTTGGAATCACGTTCTTGACCCACTGTCGTTAATGTTCATTAATGCTGAAACTCTGGAGATCAACACAAATCGCAAACAAACAACTCTGACACATTTCTCCGCAATACTAATTTTCGGAGGCTCAAGGCCCCTCGCTTGCAGAGGATTCTACGGAATACAAGCTTGTTTGTCTCTTGTGTTCTCCACCAATAAGAAAAGGAGAAAAGGTGGTAGAAGAAATGATGATGCTGCCGGAATTAGTCATATAATAATGAAGTGGAGCCCGTAAAGGCTCGCTATGGAAAGGACAACATGCACAATCATCAATAGTACAGAAGTACTTGACAGACATGGACAGGTTCTAAAACAATACAGTACAAGAAGCGGGCGGTGCAGAGATGTCCACTGTCATGTTAAGACATATATGGAAAGGGCCACACATCTGGGAAGCAAACATTGTAATGCATTTGAACCACAAAAGAAAACAACAAATAACACTATAGTGCAAGCGTAGTTGTAGTGCATGTCTTATAAGTCATGTACGGCATTGTGTCTCACCAGTAGTGGACACAAGCATTGTTAGACTGCGGTTCTGTGGGTTGGGCTGGGACAGATGTGCCAAAAGGTATATGAGGGTGGGGGATGGAACATCTCATAGCGTGTGCGAACCCCTTTACCTGTCGACAACATCTCGTTCTTTCTTTCTTTCTTTCTTTCTTTCTTTCTTTCTTTCTTTCTTCTGTCCCTGCTATTTTAGCATCATCAAAGTCGTTCCCCTTGGCGGTCCTATTGGAAGAGGAACCCAAACTGACTTTGATACCTCTTGTAGAGTAGTTAAAAGCAGCATGTCTGAATTCCAAACTCGCGGGTCGCGGGCCCGGAAGAAAGGATTTCAGGGGAGTGACCCAGAGTGTCACCAGTCCTGACTAGCGCGCGATTGCACTTCACTGTTTTCTCAAAATAGGGGACCAGGTTGGTTTCCCTTTCAAGCCCTCCCAAAAGCGGTCCACCATTTTGAGAAACGCCTTCATGTGCAACCTAAGACCATCCCAGTTTGCGAAGTATGGCTTGGGCCTCCATTAGCCCTGGATTGCAAATTGTCGTTTGCGCGTTTCCTGAGCAGGGGACATAGACACATTACGTCTTGTTTCCCGTCGCATGTTCCATGGATCTTTGGGTGCTCGTAGAAGGCTGGATCGGCTTATCATGCTCCTCAGGAGCCGATAGCAGAAAAGATCGCGTGAGAGCGGACAGTGGTTCTGCCAAATTTGCCACGCGCCTTCTGCGCCATGCGCGGCTGGAGCGATGGTTTAATTGCCCGGCACAAGTTTGGGCCATGGAAAACACAAGTGCTTTCTTCATCAGATCAACCACTTCAGTGGACCTGGGTGTGTGTTTTTTGAGGGTGGCCTTTTTTGAGTGTGTTTATTTCGGGACACGTGAAGCCACCCATTTTGAAAAACCCTCCGTTGCTATGGAACCTTTTAAGTTGAAATACCAGAGTTCAAGTGATTCAAGAATGTCCAGTACTATGGCAGCGACGCAAGCGCGAGGATCCCCCTCACAGCCTTAAGCCAAATGATTGGCAAATGACAAAACTCATGCACCATACCCGGAGAGGAAGCTAAGAGGAACACGCCCCTTGAAAAGGTGGGTTTGTTCAACTCCCCCAGGCGCAGGACGGGTCGCAGCGAAGGGTAGCTTCACCCCTTGCTAGAATGATTGCATCAACTTAGAAAGGCGACCAAAATACAACTCTCGAATTAATGACATGGATACGAATTATTATAATCCAGGCAAAGGTGCCATCTCAAGTTGCTAGCTGATGCGCAAGAGCGGCAAAACAGCTTGTCGAGATGCTGGCACAAAAGCCATGACGAAGCAAGCCACTCAACTGAGCTCACCATTAAATGCTGCACTGGTTTGTATGGCTAAGATATTCAAAGCCCATTGATGCATTTTGCAATCAACTATGTTTGTCTAAGATTCGGCAACTGCTCAAGTGCGGCATGCCCGGCCGCCTCACAAGGACACCGGTTTAGGGCGCGAAGTCGCCCCCCCTGATTCCAAGCACACACAAGTTTCTTTACTGCAATGCAAACCAAGACACGAAAACTTCAACCTGGCAACACAAGGGTGTCTAGCAGCGACCTGGTGAGAGCCAAGTAGTGTCATGCAATTCACTTCTCGTGAAACAAATTGAGTTCGCTTCACGGTGTGAGGCGCTCAAAGCTAGCCAAACACGGCAGGGGCAGGTGAGGTGTTCATTCAGGCTTTGATTGTTGCGGACAACCCCCAACATGAATCAAGTCGAGGGCAGCGCCCCACTTCTGAGGGCCGAGCGCCTTCGTCAAGGTATCTCCCTTTTGCTCGGTTGTCACAATGTAATCTCATTCGTAATTGGGGTTTTCAAATGCTTCTGACAATTAGGCGATGTTGATCTTGTGAGTCATTTGCAAGTGTCTCAATTTGGAAGAAAATCCTTTCGATACAATCGCAAGGACAGCTTGATTATCTTCCCAGCACTTCACAAGAATCTCACGGCCAAAGAGGTGGCTGCAAGCGATCTCCAAGGGCATCACATCATTGTCCACGGCGGTGGCCAAAGCCACTGTTTCGGATTCAGTCGTGGATCGGCTGGTGACAGTTTGCCTTCGGCTTACCCACGCAAGAGGAAGGAAAGAGTTCTCGGCTTCAAGCGCAACGAAGTAACCCGAACAACTCCTCATGGTGCTTACACAGTCACCAAAACTCGCGTCTACCCAACAGGACAGTCACAAGTTATCCAGAGGGTCATGCATGAAGGAGTGCAAGGCATAAGTCGTGGTTCGGCTCAAGTAACCCACTAAGCTTGTCTCGAGCAACAAAGCTGCAGCCTCTGGACGCTTTGCAAATGCTGCGCAAGTAAGCGCTGAAAACGCTTTGCGAACAAAGGTTGGGGCGCTTGGGCACAATCCTGCGCGTAATCGTGCTCTTCTGCGCGCTTTGGGGCCACTGGCAAATATTAGCGAGATAATCTGCGGGTTGCCCAAATTATTGTTCCCGGAAACAGCCCTTGCGCCGAAATTATTGATTTTGCCCCTTGCCTTTCAAAATCCTGGTTGCCGGTGGCAAACTTCTAGCGCGCTGAATCAGCTTGATCTTCCCCTTTGCCTTTCAAAATCCTGGTGGTGGCAAATTCCTAGCGCAATGAGTCAGCTTGACTTTACCCCTTGCCTTCAAAATCCTGGTCGCCGGTGGCAAACTTCTAGCGCGCTAAATCGGCTTGATCTTCCCCTTTGCCTTTCAAAATCCTGGGCGCCGGTGGCAAACTTCTAGCGGGCTAAATCGGCTTGATCTTCCCCTTTGCCTTTCAAAATCCTGGGCGCCGGTGGCAAACTTCTAGTGCGCTGAATCAGCTGGATTTTCCTGATTAAGCCGGCGACTGCCGTCTCGCATGGGGTAAATTCGAAAAGGCTCCTGTTGTTCAATGCTGACTAGGCAAGTACAAATTGGCAACACCGCCCTCCGAGCTCATTCGACGTGATTGGGGTCACAGGGCCATGGGGTTCTTGGCAACCTCCCAGACAAGATCAGGAGCAGCTGCAACTTGAGAAGATGCAGTTACAACATAACCCAACTGGACGGATGAGCTCTAGGGCACTTCCCTCCGAAGTGATTCGGCGCGACGAAGCTCACAGGGGGGTCAACCTCCAGGGTGCGATACTAGTCAGGCAAAAACTCGGGAGAGGGCCTAACACTCTTGCTTCCCAATTGAGCAGCGGCCGAAACTTTCTGTGGATTGCTTCAAGTGGGAGGGTTCTTCGCCGCTGCTTTCGCTATGCTTTCGCAGTGTGCGTTTTGGCTTCCGCGGGGCTTACTTTGACCTTAAACCCTTTCGCGCGCTTTTGCGGGTCAGTCTTCCGACAAAGTGTTGACGATGAGCTTCCAGGCTCAAGTTCTTTTAACTACTTCATAAGCCGAATAAAAGAACAAAACCGTCTTGTGTGTCTTGACACGCGGATGCCCTACGAATAACGGAAGCCAGTTGCGAGAACCACTTTGCTTGTCACTCACGCGCTACCTGGCGGACGTAACCCGGCGCGCCGGGTGGCAAAAAGTGCAGGTGCGGCGTCCACGAATTCATTGTGATATCTAAGAACCTGACATCGCCTTTACGCGCCGCTTGCTTGGCATAACCCGGCGCGCCGGGCGACGCACCACGCCTAGTCTGAACGCAGCATAAACACTTAGTCATACGAGCGTGTGTTCGTAGCCGGGCTGCGCGGGACCAGCGCGATGAGCTTGCAGGCTCAAGTTCTTTTGCCTACTTCGTGCCCCCCCGAAAAAAGGAACAAACCGCCTTGCGCGTCTTCGCACGGGGATGCCATCCGAATGATAGAAACCAGTTGCAAGAACTGCTCGCTTGTCATTCACGCGCTACCTGGCAGACGTAAACCCGGCGTGCTGGGTGCCGAAAAGCGCCGATGCGGCGTCCACGGATCATTGTGATACCTAAGCATCTGACATCGCCTTTGCGCTCCGCTTGCTTGGCATAACCCGGCGCGCCGGGCGACGCACCACGCCTAGTCGGAACGCAGCATAAACACTTAGTCATGCGAGCGTGTGTTCGTAGCCGGGCTGTGCGGGACAAGCACCATGAGCTTGCAGGCTCAAGTTCTTTTAAAACAAAACAGCCTTGCGCGTCTTCACACGCGGATGCCAAACGAATGATAGAAACCAGTTGCAAGAACCACTTTGCTTGTCACTCTCGCGTGACCAGGCGGACGTAAACCCGGCGCGCCGGGTGCCGAAGAGTGCGGATGTGGCGTCCACGAATTCATTGTGATATCAAAGCGTCTGACATCGATTTCTACGCGCCGCTTGCTTGGCATAACCCGGCGCGCCGGGCGACGCACCACGCCTAGTCTGAACGCAGCATAAACACTTAGTCATGCGAGCGTGTGTTCGTAGCCGGGCTGTGCGGGACAAGCACCATGAGCTTTCAGGTTCAAGTTTTTTTTACTACTTCAAAAGCCGGATAAAAGAACAAAACAGCTTTGCGCGTCTTCACACGCGTATGCCATCCGAATGATGGGAGCCAGCTGCAAGAACCATTTGCTCGTCACTCAAGCGCTATCTCGGACATAACCCGGCGCGCCGGGCAACGCAAAGTGTGGCTCTGGCGTGACAACAAAGACAATGTGTTGTCTCAACTGACGTCGACCGAATGCGCTGCATTCCTGGCGCTCGAAGTCGTCCGGGCGCTACGCGACGGACGTAACCCGGCGCGCCGGGCGACACGCAATGCCTAGTCTGCGCAGCCCAACGTTAATCGTGCGAACATATTCACGGCCGGGCTGCGCGGGAAACGCGCGACTAGCTGTCAGGCACCTGCTCTTTTAGCAGCTCCACAAAACAAATCAATGAACAAACGTTGTCTTGATCATGCGGCTGCCATCCGAGCGAGGGAAGCCTACTGCCACTGCGCGAGCCACTGCTGGGACGGATGTAAATGCAACGCGCGCGCCTGACGTCTATCAAGACACTGCTATCTAAGCACCTGACGTCGATTCTACGCGCGGGTTGCTTGGCGCTCGCGCGCTACTTGACAGAGTAACCCGGCACGCCGGGCGACGCGCGACGTCTAGTCTGAACGCAGCGCGAACACTTAGTCACGCGAGCGTGTGTTCGATGAGCTTCCAGGCTCAAGTTCTTTTAATTGCTTCATAAAGCGAATACAAGAACAAACCGTGTTGCATTTCTGGAAACGCGGACGCCATCCGAATGATGGAAGCCAAGTACACGAACCGCTTGCTTGGCGCTCGCGCGCTACTTAACGGACGTAACCCAGCGCGCTGGGCGACGCAGAGTGCGGATCAGGCGTCCACGAAGACATTCTGATATCCAAGCGTCTGACATCGATGTTACGCACCGCTAGCTGGGCGCTCGTGCTCTGCGTAACAGACATAACCCGGCGCGCCGGGCAACACACAATTCACGGCCGGGCTGTGCTGGACAAGCACGACGAGCTTCCAGGCTCAAGTTCCCTTAGCTACTTGATAGACCGAATCAAAGAACAAAACCGTCTTGTGTGTCTTGACACGCGGATGCCATCCGAATGATGGAAGCCAGCTGTGAGAACGAATTGCCTGTCACTCACGCGCTATCTCGGATGTAAACCGGCGCGCCGGGCAACACAAAGTGTGGCTCTGGCGTGACCACAAAGACAATGTGTTGTCTTCGCTGACGTCGACTCGACACGACGCATGCCTGGCGCTCAACGGCGTCTGGGCGCTACAAGTATTTCTACAACGCACTGTCGAGAAGATCTGAGGCTGCTGCCCAATCCAAGCTGCGAAAACCCACCGCCCACCCCCCCCCCAAGTTCGGGCCGGCGCAGCGCGGCGGCCCAAAATGGCATAGCAAACTCTGACTTTGAAAAATTGGTAAATGAACCAAAATTGCGAGGCCAGTTCTTTCTTTCTTTCTTTCTCCAGCACCGAGACGTCTCTGCTAGATCATGGGGAGCTCAACCCTCTTGAATTCAGCCAGCAAGATAAGGGTCTCTTCATTCCCAACAGCAATCAGCTCGGTTTCTTATCTCCAGGCCACGGGGGCAGTAAGTTGGCCCCGGCCCGGAGCCGGCTCGGAACCGGCCGCTGGAACCATGTCAGTTGCTGGGTAGCAAACCGGCTGAAGTTTCAATGAACAGGTTCAAAAGTTAAGCCCTGGATTCCTCCAGCGCGGCATTTGCCGGAAACCGAATCCCAAAATGATTCGCCCCCTTAAAAGAAAAAAATAAGCTGCCTCTACCAAGGGCAATGTCAAAGCCATGCGTGTTCTTTCTCACTTGCCCAAAGGACCTTAGAAATAAAAGGTCAAGACAGTTTGGACACCAAAAATTGTTAAAGGTCGAGTCGCAATTGGGGCCAGCGAGTTTTCCGGTTTCCCGTGTCTGGGGAGAGGAGGGGAGGGAGGAGCGGGGGCTCCACGTACCCCAGGCCTTTCGATTCCATCTGGGTATGGGTCCAAATTAAACCACCAGGAATCGGACCGCAGGTTTTGGTTCATGTTTCCACTTACCGATCGGGCAAGCCATTTGGGGGTGACCCTATTTTTGACCACCGGGATCCTTACATTATACACCTGAACATTGCAACTTATAAATGGTGGTTTCCCTTTATTTTGGTGGAAAAAGCCATGTTTCAAATGGTTGCAAAATGTTTCTTTTAAGGAGCCCTGGACCACCACAGGATTCCATCTCTTTGCGAGGCGCAAGGTCCTTGGCCGTACACTTCCCCGACTGACACGACGGCGGCAATCCCGCCAGGGCCAGCGCCCTGGATGGGGTTTGCCGAAACAGAAACTGGCAGGGGGTTCGCTGAGCTGGCGGGATGGGGAATGATTCGGAAATGAGCGGAGAGGAGAGGAATGAGTGGAAAGCTTCTTTTTTTTAATGGTCTGAGTGGAAGATCTAGCGGATTCAAGGCAACTCCAGTCCACTTGATGGCAAAGAAAAGAAACCTGGCTACCTGCGACTCTACTCACAGCCCGTCAAGCCGAGTCAAGCCCTTGGTTCTGGAAAGAAGTCATACCGCAAGCCTTGGATTACCATCCGCACAAATTGACGAAAGTCGTAAACCAGCTCGGGCAACGCCATAGCGCCCCTTTTAGACTCATGGTGTTGGACGTCGAAACTCACTGTCGCACTTTAGAAGAGTCCAAACATGGCCCACACCCACAAACATCCCAAGAAGCGTGTTTCCTTCCTCCTGCCTTTCTCCTAGCCATCCAGCAACCCCCGCCGGCCACCTCCTGCTTGTCGTATCAAGAGGTTTACCCATAACCCAAGACCAACCACATCTTAGTATATAACGAATGATCAAACATACATATGTGTGCATATACGTGGGGGTTGATCAAAAAGTCCTTTACATGGGATGACCCTGTCGGAACACCACTAAGAGGATGGTATCTCCCACAAGAGAAAAGCTACGCATGGTCATCTGGGGGCCAGAAAACTGATCAACCCGCACATAGATAATTCATGATTGCAAGAATAAGAAAGCACTTCACCTACCCCAGGACAACACCCCTGTCGCGCCTGCACACGGCGAGCCAGGCGCTCAAGCGAAGCCACGCTGCCATCGCTCAAGCGAGGCGGACACGGCTGATGTCCAGCGGATGCTGGCCCTGAGTAGAACTGCGGGATCCGGACCAACTTTGAACCTACTGTGGATGGACGACATCCATTTTGCACCACTTAGAAACCGTGGGAAACAATTATTTAAAGGGGAAACATGGTTCCACAAATTGTTAACTGGTGCAGGATTTCGTCCATGCACAGTAGGAGTCAGTATTCTTCTAGGGCTAGCTCCCCTATTCTTTCCACGGATCCGAATCTTTCTAGAAAACCACCAACAGCCCTGGGGAAACGGCTGGAATTGAAAAGAACGATGGCTGGACATCCATCGTCTAGGGCAAAGGTGCTAAGGAAAGGAGGTCTTGGTTTCCTTCGCAAAATATTCCCGCGACACGGGGAATCCAAAGGGCCCTCCGCCGGAAAAAAAGGGGAACAAAAAAGAAAAAAACGATTCCAACATTTCCCTTCTGCACGGCTGCCCGCAATGCTTGGCCGCCATTTTCTGCCGGTTTGCGGGTGAGATCAGACCACCGCCATGTTGATGTCCTGTCAAACGAGCTCAAGGCGAGCTTAGAGAAAAGCGCAGCTTACGCAAGTTGCAAGCCATGAGAAAAGGGAGGCAGAAGGGCTCAGATCCCAGTGGCCATGGGACAAAAAGAATCGGCAGCCTTTTTTGGTTGGTTGACTTTCAATCGGATCCCTTCCCAAAGAAAGGAAACGAGTTGGCACCACTGGGCAACTGGGAGGGTGACGCATGGGCAACGTGGCGCTCCAGCGCAGAGGCTTCTCCGGCAGAGAGCAGCCGGCTCTGCACAGTACCTGGGCGCGGGTTTGTTTCTGGAAATCAACCGACCCAGTAATCCTGCTAAAACCGTTGTTTTTTTCTGGGGACCCACTAAGTGCTAGGGGGGGGGGGGGGGGGCTAGCATTGGGGAATAGACATGCCGCAATGGTCATGGAAAGTCGAGGATTTCTTGAGCCGGACCTGGTGAAGCAATCACGTGGTGCCTGCTCATTGCTACCCAAAGGGCAGGACCAGTGCATGAGCCACCGTTTGTAGCAGGGAAGCCACAGTCAAAAAGGTTGCTCCACAAATTGACCGGCAATACTGGAAATGTGCACCAAAACTTCCGGTGACAAGTGACACTCACTGAAACGTCAGGTGACAAGACCCTGGTGATTTAGTTTGATAAGTAACAAGCATTCTGCAATGCCAATTCGGTGTGAATGCCATGCCCCTGAGGTATATCCAAACATTGAGGATCCCTCTTGGGGTGGCTTTTTTCCTCGGGCAGGGAAACCAAAAAGGGATCATCACCTGGATGGGGGTGTAGTTTTAGTAACATACCCAACTCTCTTGCGTAGATCCTTTGTGTTTTGCTTCTTTGGCTGCTTTGGACCTGAACCACAGGGCCACAAGGGGGGGATGACACCCTGCTCTGCTGCCTGCTCGCAGAACAAGGCCCTCGTGACAAACATCCTCCCTTCCAGAATCCTTCCCTTCCCCTTAAAGAGGAAACCCTAAACCCTAAACCCAGAGTCACCCAAAATCATTTTTTCTACTGGCCCTACTGACTTTCAACAGGCCCTATTGACAGTTAATAGGCCAAGACCCATACGCCCACCCCTCTATAATGTGAAAGTGCACGGACCAAACCCTCCCCAAAAAATACGACGCCTTCAAATCGGATCAGCCTGTGGGAACAAAACCAAGCATATTTCAGGCTGGCATAACTCTGGCGCCCTCGGCAACCTGGCCACCTGCTCATGAAGTGCTTGAAGAAAACCACACCCTACGAAGTTGTGTTCCGATTTTTCTATGAACAGCTGCCGACTGCCGGCCTGCCGGCCTGCAAGACATCCACTAGCATCCCATTTTATGTTCAACTTCCGCTGCCAAGGACTCAACGGCCGAAAGGAACCGGACGATTCGCTGGGAACCAAGCTGAAAAAGGCAGACCCAGCAAGAAATGCGGACGGACACCGCCCAGGTGTTTGTCCTATTTAGGGTGCCTTGTCTTGCCTTTCAAAAGAAAAAAAAACGCCTTTTTGTCCCGATCCCCAAACAACACGCCCAACAAGTCTTGCCCCAGACGCCGCCCTTCTGCACCAGCGCGAAGAGCAGGCGCCCGTCTTGCAGCTTCACTGCTTGCGCCGCCTGCAGCTCCGCCTGAGCGAATGGATGCCATGGTGGAAATATGTTGTTGTATGGGAAGCACGAAGGGGAGCCAACAAAAGTGGGTTTAGAGGGATCACACCCGTTCAGTGCAACAAGCACGCGGGAAACCAAAAACGAAAACGGAGTTATAGGGAATCAACTGAAAAACATCCCAGCGAGCAACCCCAAAACGATGGTAAACTGCAACTCTTGTGTGCATCAGGAAGTCAAGCGAGCTGTGTACAGGACCCCGAGATGATTCTAGTTCTCTCTTCAGGATCTGTAGAGAGCATCCTGGACAAGATCTCTTGCAGGGAAATCTTTGCAGGACCTGCAGAAGACCTCTTGAGAGGATCTCAATGAAGGACTAGCACAAGGAATCTTTGGGAGGATGTTTACAGGAAAGACGAAATCAGAACTGGCACCACACCAATTGGACACGCGCAAAGTACGCACGGGTTGCGCAAGCGATACAATGATAATCTGCACCGCGCCGCAACGAGAAAGATAGAGAGATCAAACACGCGCCACATGCTGCGAGCGCCACGAGAAGTGAATTTGGGAACTTGTTTCACCGGCGTATTGTGCAAACGGGATTCAAAAGTACTGCGCCTGCCACGAAAATTCAAGTTCGGGCATCCAAAGTCCAGCGCCTGCCAGCCGAACTTGTCAACATGCACCACATTAACACATGACAGCAGTCTCACACATCCAGCGCATGCGAAGCTTCAAAGCATCGACGGTTTTTTCTAACGTCCACGAAGTGCTGTGCTCGCGTTCGGCAACAGAGTGCGCGGTCGAAATCGATATTGAGGACTCCAGAAGAACTGTTGTGTGAGTGTGCCCGTGAAAATGAGTAACCCACCCTGCGGCACGACGAGCTATCATACCTTGCGTCGACTGTTTGAACCCCTTAGTATACTCACATTGTTTCGGGGTCCCAAAGGAAGTTGGAGAACGGTTGAAATGGCTCTGTATTTTCCTGAGTTTGCCCTTTTCAAGGATTGAAAGGAAACCAGAAGGGAAACCGAAATCCACTTTGGGTGGTCTGGGACCCCAAAAAAGACTTCCCCCAACATAGTTGACCTAATCTGCAGAAATACATGACCCTGGATACCCATCTAAACCAGTGGAACTCATTTATGTCCAACCAAACTCGACTCAAAAGGACACCTATGTACCCCTTTGGGTTCCTTGCCCCCCAAAACAGACTGGCAAGGGCTTGGATGATGAAACTCTTTGGGTAAACAGGGATCCTTACATTATACACCTGAACATTGCCTTGTAAATGGTGGTTTCCCTTTATTTTGGTGGAAAAAGCACCATGCTTCAAATGGGCAAAATGTATCTTTTAAGGAGCCCTGGTAAAGAATGGTGGTTGGACTAGCCCCCTTTTGTTTTGATGGCCTGCCTGAACCCCCAGTCACAAATGCTTCACCAGGACCCAACCACTCTTCACCAACTAACAACGAAAAGCCTCTGGAACCGGACGATATTGGCTGGTTCGGAACCGCCAAAAGAAGCACACTTGAGTCACAATCAAACCCCGGTATTCAAATGGCTGTGGCTCAAAAAACCGGTACCAAATTGGAACCCTGGTAAGTGGAAACATGGGTACCAAAACCTGCGTAACCCTCCCTGCTTAATTTTGAGCCACACCCAAATGGTCGATCCCCAGAATGCTTCAAGAATGAAGGCGGCGAAGGCAGCTACTTCTGGCAAGAGGACTGCCCCTTACTAACCGGATCATCTACCCGAATCGGTCTTGAGCACGTGGCTCGTATTATGTTCAGTTTCCCGCTGATAACTGTTTTGGATTGGTTTAGATTGGTTTAAGGACAGTCTCCCATTGACCCTCTACAAGAACCAAGGATTCAAATCCGAATCCAAACCGCCAATCCAAACCACCAACTAATAACTAAGGGTTGCCTGTTGTTGGGAACCTGGTAAAAAAAAAAAAAAAACAAGGAAAAAAAACAGCTGGACACCCTGCATTACATAACACGGGGCTACTAATCCGGGGTGCCCATTACCCAGGTTGGATCGCTGGACCGGTCCGGTGCGTCCTCCGGTTGCCTCTGCCCAGTGCAGGTCCTTGCACCCGGAGACCCGCTGGGCGGCGCTCACGCCGCAGACCTGGCCGGAAGGAATCCGGTCCGCAACCCGTCCGGGGTGCAAGAAATTATCCTTGGATGTGTTTGTTAATATATATACATATATATTCTATATAGATAGATAGATAGATAGATAGATAGATAGATAGATACATAGATAGATAGATAGATAGATAGATAGATAGATAGATAGATAGATAGATAGACAGACAGACAGACAGACAGACAGACAGACAGATAGATAGATAGATAGATTAGATTAGATTAGATTAGATTAGATTAGATTAGATTAGATTAGATTAGATTAGATTAGATTAGATAGATAGATAGATAGATAGATAGATAGATAGATAGATAGATAGATAGATAGATAGATAGATAGATAGATAGATAGATAGATAGATAGATAGATAGATAGATAGATAGATAGATAGATAGATAGATAGATAGATAGATAGATAGATAGATAGATAGATAGATAGATAGATAGATAGATAGATAGATAGATAGATAGATAGATAGATAGATAGATAGATAGATAGAGATAGATAGATAGATAGATAGATAGATAGATAGATAGATAGATAGATAGATAGATAGATAGATAGATAGATAGATAGATAGATAGATAGATAGATAGATAGATAGATAGATAGATAGATAGATAGATAGATAGATAGATAGATAGATAGATAGATAGATAGATAGATAGATAGATAGATAGATAGATAGATAGATAGATAGATAGATAGATAGATAGATAGATAGATAGATAGATAGATAGATAGATAGATAGATAGATAGATAGATAGATAGATAGATAGATAGATAGATAGATAGATAGATAGATAGATAGATAGATAGATAGATAGATAGATAGATAGATAGATAGATAGATAGATAGATAGATAGATAGATAGATAGATAGATAGATTAGATAGATAGATAGATAGATAGATAGATAGATAGATAGATAGATAGATATATATATATATATTATTGTACATGTATAGTTCTCTATATATATATATACACACTTGTATATATGTATAGCTGCCGTGCATGTATGTAAGTAGGTCAGCGGACAAGACAGGTTAAAAAGTTGGCTAGACCATAGCAGGGGAAATGCCGTTCTAAAGCACCTATCCACACCACAAGGTAAGAGCAACCTGACTAAGGAGACGCTAGATCAAAGTCACTTGCCAAACCTATCAAACTCCTCCATGGATTGGGCGGCTTGGAGGTGTTCCGGCATCTACCCACAACAAGCCAGAGGCTCAAAGTTTCCAAACCGCCAATTCAAACCACCAATTGGGTGGGGGGCGCCGTGGTATCATCCTTGTTAACCCCAAGAGGAACCGATCTGTTGATCATTGCACACATCAGCGGCCCAAACTGAACTTGGTTGCAAACGCATCCGGTGATTCCTTGGGACGGATTCGAATATTATGGGGTCCCATTCACGCCCCAAAATAGCGGTTCTCCTTTGGGTTCAAAAACACACACGAGGCAGGTACCGAGCCTCACTTTCATTTGCTTAAGACCCCTGAAAAAAAAAAAGGTGTTTCCGGTGGTAAACAATCCCTGAAAAATCAACAACATTTGTAAGCAAGTGGAAGCTCAAAAAAGCGATACCCCGAATTGACCGAATAGCCCTCGGCCCTGGTTCCCGGGCCCTGGATTTCTTCCAGCGGATACGTTTCCTGGAATGAACCACAATATGTCCAGTGATAGATTCGCTGGCACCAACAAGGGTAAATCTAATAATAATAATAATAATAATAATAATAATAGTAATGGTAGTAGTGAAATAACAACTCAGAAGCAAACGGGAAGCTTTCGCGCAAACAAAAACTCAGAAAGAAAAGGACAACATAACTTCGCCACGAGCCTTGGCGGCGCTGCTTTTGCCCACCGGCTGCAGGTAGGTGAAGGTGCTGGGCACTTGACTTCCCGAGGGCAGAGACACGGCGCCCACGAAGGAGTTGTATCCCACCGCCAGGACCTCAGCCGCTCGGCGGACCGAGCCGCTCGGCCGAACCGAGCCGACCCCCACGTGGCCATACGGTGGATGGGTGCGAAATGTGGGGAATCCTCTGGCCGTGCGAAATGTGGGGAATCCCCAGCTTCATTCCGAAAGAAAAAAACAAAAAAAAGAGGACTCCCTGGGCAAGTTGAGGGCGGTTTTCAATGGGATTCGAGTCAAAGGTTGTTGCTCCACGACCATGGCCAACTTCGGCAATGAGGGCGCTTCGATCTGTGAGGCCCTCCCGAATCCCCAGCGTGGCCGGCTTCTGTGGGTTTCCGGGTGCGAAAAATGTCCTCCAGAGTTGAGAGGTCAGCATAAGAGTACCAACTTCTTTTTGTAGTCTATTTTACTAGGGAACCCTCCCAAACCAAAAAAGGGTAAACGGGCACTACTGGGTGACCTAGGTGGGGAATCATATGGCTGTGGTGGTCAAACATAGGGCAAGCCCAACATGGCTTGGTTTGGTAAATGGACTCACGGACTAAAGACCCTGCGGTCCATATCCTGGTGGATTGATTTTCACCCATACCCATATTCTTCCAGGGTTTCCCAGTCCCTATGTTGCCAGAGCACAATGGCATGGACAACAATGGGGTTTTGCTGGTAAATGGATGGCCTAATACCCCATCTAAACCAGTGAAACTCCTTTCTAGGTGTGACTGTGGATGGCTGCAAAATCCGTTCGCGTGAAACCACGGTCGAAGCCACAACGTTTGTTGGTTCAGGTGAATCATATCACGGTGCGAAATGGATTTCGCAACCATCCACAGCCAATGTCGCGTGCTATAATTACATTGGGACCTTTCAGGGACCAATCTTCCAGGTATTCTCCCATGCCACGATGGTGGGGAGGGTAAAGGTAACCAACACGCCTGAGTCACAATCAAAACCCGTTTTAAAATGGTCTACCCAGAACCATGTAAAGAATTAACCAGGCGGCCGCAACTATTTCTGGCTGGGACTGCCCCTTACTTACAGGATCATCTACCCGTCTCGGTTTTGAGCGCGTGGCTCTCCTGAGAATCGGGGCTCGCTTCGGAAAATATGTTATTCTCCGATACCGATGGCCAAACAGGCCAGGGGCGGCGACCACCGACCCCACGCAGCTAGACTCCAAGGAATGTGACATGAGCTTCGCAGGAAAGGCCAGATCCTGCTTTCGGGGTACTTGTTGCCGATTTCCTGTGGAAGTTGCCGCAAGATTCTATGAGCGTTGAAACTTGTTCATTGACCTGGTGAAGCTTGAGTCAGGCTTTGTGACTTTGTGGCGAGTCCACAAGGTCTCGTGCACTCGCAAAAGGGCCGGCTCCCCCGAAGATGAGATACCAGCTTCTCTTTTTTTTTTGGGGGGGGGGGGCGTCCAAATCGACTTTCACGTTGGTGCAATTGAGCAACTCTCAGACTGACCGTTGACCATTCGGCATTCCAGGCATCAACCAGGGGGTCACTCTTGGATGAATTACTGGTAGGCTCCACTTATGCGCTGACACTTTTATGCAGGCCCAAAAGCATTGAAATGGAGGCACCCTCCAGACTGCGCCCAGTTTTTAGGGGACCTGGCGCGCCAAACTGGGTTCCAACGCAAAGGCAACCCCGCCCCTTTGGCATCGTCGAGCATCGGTCGGCTCCCCTAAGGGAGACATCCGGTGCGAGGACGGGTCCAGCTGAATGAGGGACATCTTGGTCTTCTTCTCGGCCCCGGAGTAGTAGGAGTAGGCGAAGAGGTTCTGGGAGACCAAGGCCTCAGCGAGTCTACTCCTCTGGGATGCCTTGCTCGAAATGCCCTTGCGACCCGTTTTTTTCTTCTGGGCTGTTGTCAGATCCCCTGCTAAAAAAACTAGTGCCCCACTAAAGCAACTCAAAATATCTAAACACCCTAAGGAACCGGACAGCTGGAAACTGGCAAGTGTTGAGAACATAGAAACCCGATCGTCTCCTGGGCGTTTCTGGTGGGGAGCGGACACCCCAACATTTAGAACAAGGTCTTTAGAGGGCCGCACACACCTCCAGTAGCAAGTCAGTGTTGATCAAAATGCATTGGGGGGGTCCTCTTGTGGCTTTTCCGGCTGTGAGGGAAACCGAAAGGGAGCTTAGGGAGGGATTCAACAGGTTTTCGGGTAGCTATGTTGCTCCCGAATAGATGGGGCCCACCTGGGAACCCTGCCTTCAGCTTCAAACCGTTCGAAAAAAGGACCTCTAGTGACCGGGAAACAAAAAAAGGCAGTCAACACAAATGTATAGCCAAAAAAGCTATCAGGAAATGATGCACACCAGAAGGTAACCTTCCATTTGCTTAAGCCCCCCGGAAAAAAAGGGGGGAAAAATATCCAGCAGTGACGGATTCCCTTTCAAAACTAAGAAGGGGCCCTTCATCAAACGGAAGTAACGGACAAGCAAAGGGGGTGGCACAAAGCTCGGTTCTACTCGAGAAACTGTTACAACAAACCTGGACTGTCCGTTTTCTGATCACCTGCTACAAGTTTTACTTGTGGGTTAAATGGCCACCCCCCATTAAACCAACTAAAAAGCTTTAAAACAAATAAAAATAAAATCTAAATCTTAAGGATCAAACACCTGTAGTAACCGCCAAGAAGAGAAAAACTGGATGTGCAACAGCATTGCCGTTCTGTCAGGAAGATCTACCCAATGTGCCCTGCAAAGCCTTGGGGGTACCCCTCTTCGTCTCGTCGACTCTATGCAGCGACACTCTCACAGATCTGGGTATTGCCGTTTTCATCGGGAGAGCCCAATCGCAACGCTTTTCCTTTTGGTTCCTCCTCTCATTTGTTCAGTGACCCTGGGAAAAAAAAGGGAACCCTTTTTTGTGGCTTGGACCATTTTAGTGGGGTAGCCACCGAAAAAAAAAAATGGAAAAAGAATTGGAGCCACTGAACAACTGAGTCCTCAAAAGCATCGCTCGCCTTCAGGCCCCAGATCCTTCAAGGGGTTCTGCGGTGGGTTCCCCTTGTTTCATCAGCACTCACACACTTGGCTTGACCAAGATGGTTACAAAGTAAGTGGGTGTGTCGTTTTTTAGGGGAGCCCCCCCCATGGTGGTCTTCCCGTTGGTTTCCCTTTAACGCCACAAAGCATGGGGTACCAACTCCAAAAAAGACGAGCCAGCCATATAGAACTTCGTTGCGGCTTCTCGATTTTCCTTTAAAACCACACAAGTCTGAGTTGCCAAGCCTCAAAAAAGACAAAAGCCACTCATATGGCACTCGGGCACCCCCTTAAATCGATCTTTCTATCATCTTCGCTTCACTCTCCTTCCATCGCTTTTTCGCCCCCTGGAAACAAGAAGAAGAAATATATCCTCCTAGAGTCTCCATGACCCCTAGAGAAAAGGCTCATAACCCCTTAATTTTTGGTACTGACCCCATTTTTCAAGGGTCATGGAGACGCCAGGCATGTCCATGTAGCGAGAAATCCCCTTCAAAACCAACCTAAGGGAAAATGTTAAGCAAAAACATGTGCAGTGGGAAATCCCCCGATTAAAACCAACTTTAAAGGGAAAATATCAAACCCGAAATCTTCGGCAAAAAAAAGAAAAACATATGTCCAGTAGTGGGAAATCCCCTTTACAACCAACTTGTGGATCCAAAATCAAGCCCGACATATATTTTTTCGCGAAATATTGCTGGTCTCTCCGGGCTTCCGGGCCAGGTCCCGGTGGAGCATCCCGGCACGCTCCGGCTCCAGGGCGAGATGGTGCCCGCTCACCACCAGCAGGTCGTCCGCCTACGAGGGCTGGCCCTTCCCAAAAGAAGTCGAAGGGGTAACAGCAGTGATCGGCATGGGAGGTTGGACTTGATCTGGGCGTCGTGCTTCTTTTTTTATATTGTGATTTTGTTTTCGGAGTTGGGACTGGCTATTTTTCTTATGGACACTGAGAACCATACGGAAGGTAGCTGGGACCAGCACTCTCCTAAACAACTCCCAGCTATCTGATTCGCATTGGATGGTTGGACTCGATCTGGGTGTCGTTTTTTGTTTTTGTTTTTAGTTGGTACCCTTTTTCTGTGGCTTTAGAAGTCGGAACGTGAAACGGGCCACTTGGATGGACGCCCTAGTTTTGACTCAGAGCCTTTCTGGGACTCTCCTGCAAGTACCGACTCGGGGGACTCCCAAAAAAAATATGAGCCTCGGAGGCAGATTGTCTCTCAGAAACATGTCAAGAATTCAAAAGGCGGATATCCGCACCCAATCATAGGGATCGTCCCATACACTCCAATCACCCGGGTAAGCACGTGACTCACCTTGCTTAAGTACCCTTCATCAGGTTCGGCGAGACCTTTCCAAGGCCTACTGTAACTAACCCCCACTGGTTCAAAGGACCTCGAAACACAAGGCTAGGTCCTCCAGTAGAGAGGCTAGAATAAGGGTACCAACTTTTTCTCCGTCGTCTATTCTAGCAGGGGAACCCTCCCTCAAAAAAGGGTAAACGGGCACTACTGGGAGACCCAGAAGGTCAACCTTTCGGAACCTGGGAAACCAAATGGTGAAAAGATCGATTCGCTTGGGGCAAGTGAGCCCCAACCCCCGGGAGCGAAAAAATATGAAAAATTCCACCGAGGCGCGGAAACCTTCATCCAGGTGGCGGACAGTTCCTGCGAAAAGGCCGCCGCATCCGGTCGCGACCGCAGCTGTGTGCGTTTTTTGCTTGGGGGTGTCTCAAAATCGGGGGACCGCTTTTGGGACAGTCTCAAAAGGCAACCAGGAGGAAACCACCTGGAAAGGGCCCCGATTTTGAGAAACGCCCACTTCAAATGAGAGGTTCTGCTCGGGCACAATATTCAAGATGGAATGGGCTGCATGCAAAGCCTCGCTTATGAGTACTCGGCCACATGTTCCATTGATCAGCGACCAGAGCTGAATGTGGCCGAACCCAGCCAACTGGGCAAAACATGATATCTCACTTCCCGAGTCCAAATGAAGATTATTACTGTCTATACGATACAACGCTGTCTGTATATTCCTTGGATATAACAACCCTAGAATCCACAAAGATGTATTTGCTGTGTAGATACAACTCTGCAATCCTGATTTAAGTGTGACTGCCAAGTGCTTTTCCGATTCTCAGCTTCTCAGCCCTGAGGATCGGCCGATCGAGCGGTAAGCCCAGGGTTTCAGTCCTTGGGGCCTTCCAAACTGGCCAAACCGTACGCTCCAAACGGGGGCCATGCCAAACATTGTCCTTGACCCTAGATATCCCTCGGTTGCTTTGCTGTGGCCCTTCGGGGAAGGGTCCGAACACCTGAGTCCGGCCTTTTTGCACCGCCACCTTACCCCTAGGTGACTTGGAGTGCTGGTTTGCTGAAGTGGTTTCCCCATTCACCCTCCACGGGTTCATATCCAAATCCAAGCCACAAATCCAAACCACCAATTGAGGCTTACCCTCCCACAAGCCACGACCCTCCAAAATGCCAGGCTCCATGCTAATTGGTGAGAGGGTACCTGAAACTATTACCAGTAGTGATAAATTCCCCTCAAAACCAGCAAATATACGCTTCCTCCAACTAGCATGGCACCTGTGGGGAGGTACCTGGAAGATCAAATTGAAGGGACCCTCTGTCAGTTGCCATGTTAGTGGGAGGGAGGGTAATTGCCAGCAATAGAACCCTGGTAAATAGAAACCTGGACTGCCACCAGTTTCCTGGTAGTCCAAAAAAAATGACCCACAGCCATATAAGCTCCAGCAAAGCTTTCATTTGCTCAAGCACCCTGGCAAAAAAGAAGAAGAACAAACGATGTCCAGTAGTGATCGACTCGTCTTGCAAACCAACAGGGGAAAATACCAACGGAAGAAAGGGAAGACACCGCCAGCGCCGCATTTTCACGCCGCGCCCCGATCCTTGGAGGTGGCCCCAAGCTCTTGGTCGCTGGGAGGCAGCTGGCGGTAGGCTACCACGAAGGAATCCTACGGCCGAATGCGCCTCGCAAATGCCCCGAACCAAAATGGGCGGCTGGGCCAAACAAAAAACACGTTCCAGGGCTGGATTGGCACCCCTGGCTTTTGTAGCTTCTTCGGTTTTCAGTCCTTTTCCCCAACCAGCAACACGTATGTGTGCAGGGGAGCGTCTGAGACTGTTCTAGGCATTGTCCCTGGGTTTCTGGGTTTTTCTAGAAAGATTCGGATTTCTGGAAAGAATGGAAATGGAAGGTACCCCTAGAACCGTAGGCAAAAACGCCGCCCACAAAAAAGGCGGCCGCATCTGCCAAGCAGCGTAAAAGGCGAAGGACTGTTTGGCATATTGTAGGATTGTAGATTGTAGGATTGTAGATTGTAGGCATAAGTAGGAAAGCACATTGTGTGTCTGCCACACTCATGAACGCGGTGCCTTCTTAATTCAGGTTGAAAGAATAGCCAAGTCAAGAACGGAACCTCCAAAACCAAACTCTTCAGTAATAGTAATGATAATAATAATAATAGAAGTAATCAACAAGACCTTATGTGGCTAGGTCCTCCAGAAAGGGTGCCAGTCTATTTTAGTAGGGGAATCCTCCCCAAAAAAGGGGTGAGAAAGGGCACTACTGGGGGACCTAGCTCTAGAATCCGTTGTGTGGCTGATGTTGGTACCTGGATCGCCAGTTCCTGTTTATTTTTCTTTCCCCATGCGCTTTACCCCTAAAAAACCGATCGCAACAGCGACTGAACAAAAAAAAAGAAACTGCAACTACTGGGAAAAACCTGTTTGATCACTGCAATCACAGCAGCTCGATACAAACACAGCAACTCGCCGCTCGCCCACCGCCGCTGGCACCGCTGGCCCGCCTCCGTAAGCTTGGTCGCCGCCACCTCCGAGATGGGTGCCTTTGCCTGGGCCCAAGGCGAGATGCCGAGCTTTCAAAATGATGGCCCGATATATATATATATATATATGTATTATATTTATCGATATATATATATATATATATATATATTACAGTTATCTATATATAATTGTATATCTACATACATATACATACATGTGGTATTCAAGCACTCCCTCATTATAGAAACACCCATATGGGGGGCAGCTTTTTTCAGAGCCCAAATCTTTTTGTGAAGTTCCTTTTGGTTTTCCATTAAAGCCAAGCAAAACGCGGTACCAACTCAAAAATAGACAGACCCACCCATCATATAAAGAAGCTTTTGATATAGGTGAAAGTACAAAACAAAGTAGTGGAAAGGGTTCCCAGCAAAAATCCTATGGCCTGCCTTGAAGGGTGTACCTGTGGCCGCCGCTCAATAGCTATAGAGCCAGGTCCGAGCTCGAGCGGTGCAGCGAAGCACGGCTGGCGAGGTAGAAGCTCTGCGATCCGCTGTCTACGGATAGTCTGGCTGACGAAGCAATAACGCTTGGTTTGAGAGCTGCGAAGCGTACTCAAAAGTTGCGATGTGCGAGCCAGAGCAGCGAACCTGTACATCGCATACTGCGTTCGTACGGAAAAGTTGCGATTTTCAGTCCGGGGCCGCGAAAGTGTCCTCCACCTACTTTCGCACTTCACGCCGGAGCTGTGAACTCCGCAGACTAGCTCAAACCACCATCAAAACCAAGGGCTAACATAATCCATTATTTACCTAAGGTGGTTCATTCATCCGAATTGGGTCAACCATTCTTTAAATGGGGGTTGAACCCTAGTAGGCTATCATCTTGGGTGCGGAGTTGAGCGCTGTCATCCGGAGAGCGCAGAAAGTACGCAAAAGGCTTGCCGTTGCGAAGACGGCAACTCGCTGGATCTTGCCTAGGTCCTCGAGAAAGGGCACTACTGGGGGACCTAGTTGCCATGCCATTTGCATTGGGGAAGCTCAAAGGCAGATTTCGCGCCCGCGGAAAGTCCGCAACGGGCTCACCATTCTGAACTTAACGAGTTGCTGCGTGCCAATCAGGAAGTCGACGTTAGCAAATCCCGGTATCTTGCCGTGCCACTGCCTTTTATGCTCCAAACCCATACCGAGACCGCATGCTTCTCCCCGAGGTCTTGCGACTCCAGCGTGCCATTCCAATTGCAGTCATGCGCAACTACTTGCTATGCGATCTTGCTTACTCTCACCTGCTCTAACATATGCCATTCAACTTTGCGTGTGACGGATCCGTTGCAACTGAAGTTCCTTTGATAACAATATACCATGAATAAAAGATACGGACAACGGCAGAACCCCACTATTCCCAAAGATGCCTTTCTTTTAAGCCACGTTGAAAGAATACTAGGAAATAGTTTGTAAAACCGCCACCAAACACTACTCGGTCATTCACGGTCGAGTTGCTAATATGAAAGAAGGAATAACTGCAAATGCCAACTACTCTCGAAAGTAACATTTTTTCAAGTCATGCTTCAACACGGTGGCTTCTCGCTACAACAACCTTGTGTGCCTGCGGATTCATTCCCAAACAAATACCTACACTTTGGTACTGTTGACAAACAAAATCCCAATATTTGGAGCATCAGGGTCTTTGGTCATGTGTCAAACTAGACCCCCAAGATGTGTGGTCTCCCGTCGTTTCCCTTTGCCTCGCCAAAAATCGGGGGTCACTGGATTTTCACTTCAAAGGTCGCAACTAACTGGTGGATTTCCCTGAAACTGCCTCTTTTTTGGTGCCAAAAAGGGAAATGGAGGGAAACCCTGCAACTGGCCGGCCACGCCCCACGCACGGTGAACGCGCTGGGGGCACCTAAAGCTTTGGGGTCTCAGCCCAGATAGGCTCCGGGGTGGTCCGGGCGGCCCTGAGGTAAGGTTCCACGACAGTTCCACCAGGGTTCCACCGGGGTTCCAGGGTTCCACCAGGGTTCCACCATGGTTCCACCAGGGTTCCACCAGGGTTCCACCGGGGTTCCACAGTTCCACCAGCATTCCACCAGGGTTCCACCAGGGTTCCACGAGGTTCTGCGAGGGCTGCGGGGTGGTGCGAGCACTAAAAAAAGCACCGCTTGCTGTTGGGGATATCACCTGAGCTTAAACCTTCTTGTTTCCATTTACCAGGCTTTATGGCTATGTGGGAACGGATGGTTGTACTAAAAAACAGCACGGATATCACCTGAGCTTTTGGGAGCCGCGGGGCTCCGAAGTGGTACCTCCCCAGCAGACTGATGCCGTCCAGCGCCCGAACCAGGACCGCGCGGCCTGCGCGGGAAGACACGTTTCTACCGGCACCTTCCATCCGGCTTTTGGAAAGAACGATGCTTGAAAAGAATGGACAAGGAATCACCCCCTAGAATCGTGATTTTTGTTTGCTTTGGGCACTCCGAACATCCGAACTCCTGAAACGGGTGCCTGGATCGCCAGTGGCGATCGCTTTTTTCCATGCACTGTACCCCAAAAACCGATCGCAACAGTGCCTGAAAAAACCGCAACTTGGCTATCCAGGTGGCTTCCCAAACTCGAACCAAACCTCCGAGAAAACGGTCGACACTCCTCAGGTTGCAAGAGGTCTCCGAAAATCCGAATCCTTAAGACCTGAGAAGGCCAAACTCGAACCAGTTCTTCTAGCAGCTAACAACAATCACGGAAGAGAGTGGCTCCGGAACAGTGGATGCCTGCAGAGGTGCTGTGGCGGGTGGCTTCCCGAACTCCTTTCAAATCATTCCCTCGGGGAACAAAAAAACGGAAACCGCCCGTTTTGGGGTGGGAAATCAAAGGAAACCACTCGTTTAACGGGGGAACCCATGTTGAAGGTGAAGGTCCAAAAACAATGGGACTGCACGGCGGCGAATGGAGTGGCTTTAAAATTGGAGGGCACCCATGGCCTGCTTTCTCAAAAGCCAATGGCAGCCAAAAGGCGCCTCATTCTGAGACATGGCTGTGGTTCAAACAAATGTATGTGCTAAATGGCACCTTGGTAATGAAAACAAGGGCTATAGCCTGCGTAACTCTAGGTTTCTCAATTTGAGCCACACCCACGTGGCCCCATTATTCTACCAGTATCATAGTCACCCCCCCAAAGTAGTAGGTGAAACGGGAAACCACCCATTCCAGTTCGTGACTTGATAACCCGCAGAAACGATCAAGCTAATGACCTCGGTCATGTTGAGACGTGGGTATGGCTCAAAAAACCGGTACCAAAATGGAACCCTGGTAAGTGGAACCATGGACCAAACCCTGCGTAACCCTAGCTCTTGAATTTTGAGCCACAGCCATATGGGTGTGTCTTTTGTTGGCCCCTTCGGCTTCAGGGAATCAAGGGAACACTTCGGCGCCGAAACTCGGGATCCGGTTCCCCAAACGAAGACGACGGTTCAGTGGGAGGTCCTAGGCTTGACATCTTGGGATTTCACTGGGTTCGCACTCACTCAGATCTTTTAAAACACTGATCTTGGAGCTTTGAAGCTGGAAGTTTTCTAGGAGTATGTCCAGATAGATTCCCTTTAGAACCAACAGGGGAAAGTATATCACCTGGATCGCTGGTTGCAGGTTGTTTCTGCACTTTACCCCAAAAAACAGCAGCGTGACTGGAAAAAAAAAGATCGCAACTTGGCCCTCTAGGCATCTTCTTAATCAAATCGAAGCTGCCGATTGAACCAGCTCACGCAACCGGCCGCGTGGGGTTTGTGCGCATCCGACATTCTCCCCGGACGATTCCGCCTGGTGCCTGGGTCTGGCTGTCGCCCATCTCGCCGCCAAAGAGGCAGGCGACGCGGCTGCCCGACAAGGGCACCAGCGTCACCTTCCTCCGAGCGCAACAAAACGCCCGAGTCATAATCAAAACCCGGTATTAAAATGGGTGTGGGTCAAAATTAGGTACTCAGGATGGAACCCTGGTAAATGGCAACAAAGACTAAAACCTGCGGTCCCCTGGTAATTTAATTTTGACTCATACCCAAATGGTCTACCCAGAACCATATAATAGAAAGAAGAAGGCGGCCGCATTTATTTATGGTTGGGATTGTCCCTTACTAACCGCATCATCTACCCGAATCGGTTTTGAGCACGTGGCTCCCGTGGATTTTTTTTCCATGGGGATTGGGTTTTCTTGGGCGCCACTGGGTTTTTTTTGGGGCATCCATGGTTGTTGCTTGAGCTTGAAGGGGAACTCCAAAACCCCCAAAAGAAAGGAAAGGGCGGAATCCACTTGGTTGCTAGATCAGCAAAGGAAGGAAGGCTCGTAGAAGAACCACACAATGGGCGGCTCTCTTTTTGGTTTCCCCTTAAACCAACAGAAATGGTACCTAGCCTCAAAAAGACGAGCCAAGTGAAGGCTTGCGGATTGTGAAATCACAATCAAGTCAAGTCCCTCGCGCTTGAAACAAAGCCAGTCCGAGGTAGAGATGGGCTGGAAATTCGCCACTACCCCGCATGGTAGGTATTTGCAGTGCGCCTTGAAGGCTGGCTCTAAACAGCTTTAGGAAATGGCCCCTTTCCTGTTGATTGAGATGAATGATATGGGAATTGATCAATATTCTCTTCGGCCCTCAAATGACCATGGGTAACTTTGCCCAATACGGGACGTATCATTTGTTCTAGCGATTTTCCCCAATGGTCATCCCATGTGAAGGACTTTTTGATCACCTCCCATATGGTTTGTTTCTTGCGGAAGTGCGGGGAGGGGGGGAGCATTTGTTCTCCCCAACTCGACAGGCAGTTCATTTGACGAAGATGATTTGTCTGTTGCTCACATATCGTCAAGCTCCTTATCTGGCCACTGCTTCCGGTTTCCATAAAGAGGAGTCATCCTTCTTATGCTGTCCAAAAGCCCTTAAACAGGCGTCGAAGAAATACGGTTTCCAAGACGAACCCTTCTCATGTTGCTCTCACATGTGCCATGGTCGCCTCATCTGGGCAATGGTTGCGGTTTCCATTTCGGAACCCTTTTGCTGTCGCAAAGCCCAAAAGGGTCGAAGAAAACCCATACTCAACCCAAGCAACCCATGTTTGTTGACAATAGCCTTGGCACACAAGGTCCTCAACGGAACTGACTGCAGCCTACTGTAAAGCCAAACTAATTCATCCAGAAATACAGGTGCTACAGTGTGAGCTTGCCAGGATGAGCCCAGAATGGGTCCAGCAATGTCAGGAAAGGAATCCAACCACAAATCAAGCCACCCGTGATGAGCAACTGCAGGGTGTAATGACGAGGGTGTAACACAAAGGTTGACAAAAAGGTGGCCTCTGTTTGGAACCCCTGACATCAGCGTCACTGTTGGAGCACATGTTTGTCCGCCTGACAGTGATTGTATGTGCCACGGTTACACTCCGCATCTTGAGTTACCTAAATCTCGGCTTGATGGATCTAGAACTATATAATTATGTAGTAAGCCCCGAGGCCCCAGAAATGCTTTGACCATCAAAACTATATAGGTGTGTTGTTTTTTGCTGGTACCTGTACCAGGAGCCAAAGTACCGGGACCACCTCTCTTTCCACTCAAAGACTGGCACAGCAAGTGACATGGGTGGGTTTAAAGGGAAACCAAAAGGAAACCACCATTTTGAGGGGTCCCCCATTCTAAGACGCACTCACATGGGAATCTGGGTGAGTGAATAAGAGAAATAACTCCCCTCAGTCTTACCCTGGCAGATGTCTAGGGTGCACTCCTCGACAAAACAAAAGGGATCCACACCCTAGTAGGGGCCACCCTCGCTACCACTACATGGCAACTGAGAGGAGGTCCTTCAAAAGAAATTAATCTTCCAGGTACCAAACCCCACAGGTGCCATGTTAGTTGGAGGGTAATAGGGCTCCTTGTGGGTAATTTGGGGCCGACCATGGCTTCGCATTTCAGTCGATGCAGCCCGAGCTCTGGCGGAGCTTCTTCGCCAGCAAGTACGGTCTACTCAGCGCCACCTGGCCACAACTCGATCGATCCAACCCAAGGTGCCGGAAGCTCCCAGGCCGATCCTGTGAATGGGACCAAGTCTTCCAAAGTCCTGGCAGCTTCCATGGAATCCTCTGGAGGGTAACAGCGGAAACCGCCGAAATGATGAAATCGTCTTGGGCATACTCGGAAAGACCTCGCAACCAAACATCCAGCAAACGACCCGCAAATTAACAGAAGCCCTTCATCAGGGCTTCGCATCCAACTCCTCTCCTAGGATTCAACCCCCCCATGAAAAGGATGGTTGACCCAATTTAGATCACTGCTGGCTTGAACCCCTGGGCTCCTGAAATCCTCTCACGGCACTCCCGAACCTTGTTTCCAATCAGCGCTCAATAGCCAGATGACTTTCATCCTGACATATAGTATCCCAATAGAGTGCTATATTGAAGGGGTCAAAGTTGCCAACGTTCTTAGTGCACCAGCCAATCCCCACTCCATGTCCAA